TTGAGCGACAAAAGACAACGCATTCATCCATCTAATCCAAAAAGAATAAATTGTGTGTAAACCGAGAAAAAAATATCCGTAAAATTCTTCTTATTTCGACCTCGAAAAACAAAAAAGAGATGTTTAACCCATTTTTTTAACTATTTCAGGATCTAAATATGCGTTTGAAATGGAAAAATCAGCGTTGAAGATAACAGCATTTACAACAGGATGTATATTAGTGATAATAGTATCAGTGATAAACATCAGCTTACTTAGTGTTCGTATATCCGGAACTCATCCTTCAATAAGTCAAACACCACTTTATGGGCAATATGATAACGGTGAATCAATGAGTACTGAAAGGTAAATTCTTATAAATTGTTGATCTATCTAAGTGATACTGTCTAAACAGCAATTATCCGTTATTTTTAATTCTTACAGATAAAATAAGTTAAATAATGATCACTTCTTTATCCTTTATCTTTCAATTTCTCACTGATTATGCAATCAAATTTGAAGACTTGATAATTAATTCAAGCATTTAAATAAAAAATGATAAATTTTATAAATTAATATAAATATGTTTAGCTGAAGTTTTTATAATTTAGTTGTAGAATTGAATAAAATCAAGAAAAATGACTTTACTTTGAATCTTTTCAGTATACCTTTGGCAGCTCCATCACCGGCTCGTCGCAGACAACAACGCTTACCTCAATGCTTAATTATAGGCGTACGTAAAGGTGGTACGAGAGCATTACTGGATGCACTTGCGATACAACCTTATATTCGTGTTGCTAGACGAGAGATGCATTTTTTCAACGATAACGAAACATATAACAAAGGATCAGAGTGGTATCGTCGACAAATGCCACATACTTATCCTGAGCAGGTTTCTTTCTTCTTTAATAAATGACAAAAGCTGTTCCTTTATTCGTTTTTTTGCTAATAATATTTTAAAATCTCAAAAAAGTCACTGAAAATGCTTCAGTATTAATTTTCAATTTAAACAGCTAAAAGTAATTTCGACTTCAATAAACCGATTTTGCCATTCTGTTTAGGTGACAATCGAAAAAACCCCAGCTTATTTTACAAATCAATATGCACCAGAAAGAGCTCATCGTTTAAATAGTTCAATGAAATTGATATTAATATTGAGGGATCCGGTTATTCGCACTATTAGCGATTTCACTCAGGTAATTTTGCTTTCTTGATCAAATTAAAAAATAGGAACTTCCTCTGATTATTTCAATGAAATTTTTATCCTTCCCTTTTCATATTACTTGAAGAGAAGCTTCGATGGATGCATTTGTATTTTCCATAAGATCTTTTTCCATCTTCCAAATTGAAAGTGGCATTTGTGCTCAGTAAGATTTTCTGTCTATCGAATAAAATTTTCCTTAAGCTATCGAAATTTGTATTTCTCAAACGAAATTTTAACCTTTAGTTTTTCCTTTAATTTTTATAACGAAACTGACATGCACTATGTTTTTGGCTAAGATTTTTGAGTTATTTCGGTATTGCATTTTAGTATTTATATATAAGTTATAAAGTAAAAGAGGTTAAAGATCGCCAAAAAATTGAAAAGTAATTGTAAGCAGCAAAATGGTAATTTGAAGAAACTGTGAAAGAATATGTTTAGTTTAGAATTGTCAGATAGTTCCAGAATAAAAAAAGATTTCGAAATTGTAATGACATAAAGTTTAAAGGATGTGATCTGAGATTATGCGAAGTTGAAAGGAGCAAAATATAACTAAATAATAGAAGTGTAAATCAGAAACATTTATGACTCAAGTCGGTTTTCAATGAAAATGTTGCTATAAATAATTGTCACCAAATTTTTTAATGTGTAAGCTATCAGAAAAATTCTTCAGGTACTGTATACAAAGAATGAGCGGAATAAAACGAAACCATCGTTTGAGGCAGAAGCCTTTCTCAACGACAGTTTCACAATTAATATTAATTATAAACCGGTACGTAATTCGCTATACTCACTCCATATGAGTCAATGGTTGAAGTATTTCTCGCTAAAAAATTTTCTCATTTTGGATGGCGATAAATTTATCGTGGACCCCTTACCACAGGTTAATTCTAATATTTTATTTTGCATAATATTATTTTAAAATATTTTAAAAAATATTTGTGTATGTATGTATTTTTTTGTTGTATCTCTAAAATACCTATAGAAACGATATAAGTATTTGTGTTTTTCAAAAAGATATAAGACATTCTTAGAAATTAATAATATAGCTAATACTTTTTTTCATTCAGTTGCAAAAAGTTGAGCGATTTTTGCATATTCCGGAATCATTCAAACCGGATCAATTGGTTTTCAATAAGCAGAAAGGATTTTATTGTTTCCGACGGAAAGACCGATATACAGCGAAATGCCTTGGAAATACTAAAGGTCGTCCTCATGTAAACATTATGTCAGAAATTCAGTTAAAATTGCGTAAAGGTTTTCGGCCGTACAATGAGAAATTTAATAAAATGGTAAATCAGTGGTGGGATTGGGAAGAGAAATCATTTTTGTAGCAGTATATTTCACATTTTTTTTCTCGGAATGAAAGGACAATTAAAGTAGGATTAAAGTGTGTTAAATAATTACAGGTACAACGGATATTTCAAATGTTAAATAAGCATAAAATAACCACTAAAGAAGTTAGAGAAATTCCAAAAAATTAGATCAAAAAATTTTTGAGTGAAAAAATTTGATAACTTTTTAAAAGTTTTCGTGCATGATTTTTATGCAACAAATTTTCATCTATTGAAGAATAATTGTATTATGATTGCTTCTTAGAAGGTCATAAATTGTCAATATTACTCGATGTTTTAGTTTTTTAATATTTAATTCATCTGGGTTTTTTCCATGCTTTATTCCTTAATTTTTGTTTGATATCACAGTGCCTTTCTCGATTTAATGGTGCTCATTTTCTTCCATATATCAGAAATGATTTAATTAAATTTCAGTATTCATTGAGCTTCATAATAATGTCTTTTAATGCACTTCTCCTATGATTGTCTTTTTTTCTTTCTTTGAACTTCAGAAAGTTGTTCTTTTTTTAACAGAATCATTAATTAAATATTTTGAACTTATAACTTTAAAGTTTAATAAGTGATATATGCGCTGAAATATGAAAATTGAGACGAAATTTGTGTCGAAAAATGAATTAAATTAGAAAATTGAGCTGAAGATCAAGAATCGATAGTTGAGACTGGTTTTATTCATTAATAAGCCTTTCAAGCATTTTTAATATGAAAAATAAGCTTTTTTTGAAATTTCAGAATAAAATGTGATGTAATATCCATAACAAACAAGGGTAAACGATTTAAATAAATATTCATTTATAATTTTTTATTTTAATAAATTAAAACAATACAATACTACAGTGATTTAAAAGATCATCACTAAACTCTCGGAGAACCTATATTATTATATTGTACTGAAAGTGGAAACAATTAGACTGTGTTAGTTACAGGAATGGGTGGTAAAATGTAATGGCTATTGAAACCAGATTTCTGCACGGATAGGTTGGAACGAATTGCTTCCATAATGAACAACCTTCCAGGCCATCATCAAAGTTGCCTTATGTTGAGGGAATGACAAGATTTGTAATAAGATATCTAGTGTAGTCAGCTAATCGTTTAACTCAATATTTGAAATATTTTCTCAGTTGCTAGTTATGAAGTTATCAGTTATCTTGGTGTCACCTGATCACATTTAAGATCAATTTGTATCACATTCAAGAAAGTCTTATATTTCACTCATTTCAGAGATTATTTATGGTACAGCCTTTCAGTGCTAATGAAACATATATCAAAGGATTAAAGTTATAGTGAAAAATTGCTCTGTCTAAAAATGTAAAAAAAAAAAAAAACAAAATTTTACTTTGCAACAAAAGAAGTGCTAAACTAAATGTAAGCATAAAAATGTAATAAATATGATTATCAAGTAGAGGTTATTGGATAAAAGGAACAGTATGCTATGGCTACTATTGCAAAGATCATCTTCACAAAAGCATATTTTATTGTTACTTGTTGCTACAAAATTTTGCACCATTTCATCAATATAACACCGTTCGGACATCTGTCGCGCATATGGCCGTTTATCAATCCACATATTATTCCAACAATTACGATAAATATATTGGTTACCTGAAAATGAAATTTAAAAGCTGTCAATTCCTAATAGTACAATAAATCAGTCAAATCACATAGTGGCAGAAAACTGAAAGGCAAATGTCAAACAGTCAGCAATGGAAAGAAAATTGAATTAAATTTTATGGGAAAAAAAAACTTCATTTTACATTATAAAAAAAAACCTTGAAAATTTTTTAAATTGATAATAAATTTGATAGAAGTATCAAATTATTTTATTTTGAAAATTATAAAATTTGATTTAAAAAAGGAAAGGAAAATATGACCCTTATAATGTCCTTTCAATTTAACACATGTGCCCGGTTCCATAATCGTATTTGGGCAGAATACCAAATCCCTTTGGTAATTATTCGGAATATTTGGAAAATATGATTCGGCACATTTTGCAACATGTTTTGATATTAGGATACCAGCCTGAATAATGTGAATTTTCCATTCCAAATTAGTAAAAAAAATGAGTAAAGTTTTAAGCTTAACAAAATGGGCAGAAGTAGTATTAGGTATTTACAGCATCCAGTTATTTATGATAAACAGAACCTGTAAATGTTTAATTCTACAACAACTTAATGGAAGAGTATTTCTTAAAACATTTATTTAAAGAGATAAAAAAAGGAAAGTAATCCTGTTTAAGAGTTACAGCCAAGATTCTAGAAAGTGTTACCATGCCTTTACCTTTTCAAGTGTTTGATATAGATCGGTGGTGGAGTTGCTATCGTTGGATTGCCGTGAATTGAAATCATTTATGGAGGATATGCAAGCATAACAGACAACTTGACCTTTTAGACGACTTTTGAACACTTTCGGTGATGGCACATGTATGACGTGGCCAGAAGTCATGGAACACGCTGTAAGTTTCATCAAATCTTTGAAAAGATTTCTTTTTTTTTTAAATTTATTTACAATACAACTGCTAACTACACTGTAAATAAATTTGGAAAGAATTTGATATGTTCTTCGTATAATAGAATGTAAGTGATAAAATAAGATATTATATTGTCTTTAAATATTTTAGGAAAAAAAAATAATGTTGTTTCATTACGATAATGAAAACAGTAATGGTGGCTTTACTCTTGGACAGATAAAATTAATTACGTTAGCAATTAAAATAAAGTTAAAAAATTTAAAATGTCTTACCAATAAAAAAAAATGCAAAAACAATCGCAACGTCTTCGGAACTAAAAAAATTTGAAGTTGACATTAATTGAATTGATTAATTGAATTAAGCTCGTTAATTTTTTTTTTCAAATAAATATTGATTTATGCATCAGAATGTCACAGCAAAATGACAAGCCACAGAATTAATATCAGAAAATTATTAATTAAGTTGAGGGAATGAAAAGAAGCGCGAGAAAGAAATTAATATTCAGATGATTATAGCTAATTAAACACCTCTACACATGCTCTTAGCATTTTGATCGTCACAGCATACTTGATCGATTCTGTAACATTTCAGTTCATTTTCAATTGTATCACTTCAGGCATTTAGCAAATATACAACTAAAGGAAGAAATTTGAGAGTGGAATGAACTAGCAATAAATTCCTGACAAATATTAATCAGATGATATTGAATGTAATTAATTTTTATTTATTCAAAGATATTAATTTTAAAAATAAAAAGAAAAAACGATTCTCAAATTTTATCTATTCTGCAGTAATCTTCGAAACTTATCGTATTCGCAACTCAGCGTATCGTAACGTTATCGATAAACAAAGAAATTGTTGATAAGAATGATGACAACTATCTAATCCTTACATTATTTCAATTTTTGGTTAAAAAAGATATTAAAATAGCAAACATTTTTTCAAAAAGGACTTTCTCTCCTGAGACATTAAGTACGAATTTTTAACCATTTTTAACTCATTGCTAAAATTGATCATTTCTTGCATGAATTACGCAAAAGTTTATTTTATCACGTACCATTGAAAGTTTTAGCTGAAATTTCTGAACTACTAGAAATATAGCAATTATCTCTTTCTTTTCCTGTATATTTTAATCAATCATTTTAAATGGAACAAAAAAAAAGTGAACTATTTAATATTTTGGAAATTATATCATTTCTGAGGAAAATTTATTACTCTATCACTGATGATAGAAGTAAATTGAAATTGAACGTGATGAATTCTAAAAATATTACAATAATCAATAACAGCTGGAGAGATTTTAATATCAGAAAATGGAAAACTTATTCATGAATTCTATTAAAAAATTGGAGAAATTGAGGCTAACATGACAAAGTTTTACCATTACACTTTGCTCCTAATTTAAAAATGGATATCATATGATTAATTAAAAAATCTAAGGATGCGGTTTACTGTACTTTAAAGTGAACTAATTATGGCAGTTTATTCTAAAAAGTAATTTTCTTTGAAGGATTGAGAACAAAATGTCGCCATTAATTAGTCTGGAGGCTCTTTAGCTTAAAGCATTCACTTTTTTTTTGTCAATTATTGTCGAATTATATTTCTTCATGGATTTTCAAGCATATGTGAGGTTAAATTTTGACTTCTACTTAAAAGGAGAAAGATGATGAGATAATTAAAGCGAAATGTATAGAAGAAAAAATCCCAGCAATATTAAAAATTAAAATTTCGGACCAAATTTTAATTCAATTACTTGAAAAGAAACCAAACAATGCCGATATGCAATCAAAGTGCATTACACACAGATGAGAAAAGTTAATTTGAAACTTTGAATGTCCTTTTCAATCAAATGAAAATATAATTTGTTGTGCTCCGTATGTATCTGAGAAAGCATTGTACTTTCCAAAATCAATCCCGAAATCAAAAATCATAAATAGGAAGTGGGAAATTAAAATTCGATCCAATAAATACGATAATTTTAGTGCATAGAAAAATATTTTCTGGATGATTTTAACAATTTAGTGCGCAAGTTTGCATTATATTAAATGATAAATGATTGTTAGCAACTTATCGCACTTTTTTTAAATCACTTATCGTCATATTGATCAAAATGAATGAGGGAAAATTTCTGTTGGCATTTTTAAAATAATTCGTAATTTATAGAAATGCAAATGTTTATGATATGAATAAACTTCTCAATTTACTTTGCCGTATTCTATAAATGTCATCCGACATCACTCTTATTCACATTGTTAAGTATTAAAATTTATTTTTCTTGTTGCAATATTTTCATCATATCCGCTCCGAATTAAAAAAAGCAGAAAACTTAATTTATTTTTTTCTAATAGAAAGTGATATTTTACATTGTAAATTTTATAAAAATAATAGATGAAAATAATAATATTGCTCTCATCTTAAAATAGAATTGCTTTTTTTCTTTGTTTTTTGATCGATTCTAAAAGCGATCGGTGCAATGAACTGCGAAAGTAAACAAAAAATCGGAGTAACAAATTGGAAGTAAAAATTATGGTATAATTCCAAATGAAATAATTGGCAAAATCTTGAGCTTAAAAATGACTAAGGAACAAAAATTGATGCTGCCAGAACGATATAGTGACATTTTTAGATTTGACAATAATATTACCAAAGCATATATGGTAGCAGCGGATAATTTCAAACCATAAAAATTTCAAACATTTATTTAATGAAAAATTCAATCGAAAACAAACGAGTTTGCTATGAAATACGAGATGACTTTGAAAAAAATTCTGAAATTTGAGCTCACATAAAATGAGTATTTTTATGAGAAAATGATGGCCTTTTTTTCGACTACTACCGACAGTTACTACTATTTTGTAGTACCGTTTATTTTCAACACATTGCTATTTCTAGTGAAATTACAAATGGAATCTAGCAGATCTTATTTGTAATTTCATTTGAAGATCTAAAAAAGAAATAAATTTCATATATGTCTATGATTAATATATTTAAACTATCTTCTACCATCAGCAATCATTCATAACTTTCAATAAAAATTCTTCCCAGTAAAACTTAAACTTGATCATACCCTATTTGGTCAATATTTATAATGAATAACATAAATTTGGACCAGCAGAATTTTCGTATGTTCATTATTCTGTAAGAAATGAATTAAATTAAATGTGACAATGATTAAAGGTCGAAAAATCAAATCATCGAGGGAAATAATGAAAGGAAGTAAAAGTTGAGATGGTTAGAGCTGTTTCAGTGGATAATAAGATCGATGAACTAATTGAATGAAAGCATAAGCAACGGCATATTCTTTAGCCGCTTTCCAGTTATCGCCCAAAACCAACTTATAAATAATGCAATGTTTAGAAAAGAGAGTCTTCTGCAAAAAATCATCGATTGAATCATTCAGTTAAATTTTGCAAAAATATTAAAAAAATATTTTTTTAAATAAAATTCTTTTCAATTTTCAAGATCCTCTTTCATATTTCTTTTGTTTTTCCACTTGATATTCTCGAAATAAAGTATAAATATTTCAGGCTTAATTTAAATGGAGCATATTTATTGGTGTAGAAAGTACTTTAAAATTGATGATCAAAGTTGACAATTTAGCAATAATATGACAAAAAAAAATTTGTTTTATCTTATTTTTCTCTAAATTTTTGCAAACTTCAAATTATGCTAGAAAATAGTATTCTTGCTGTTGAGGACTTCTAAATTTCTTTAAAATTCTAATGATTTTTTCTTTAGAAAAAAAATTCTAGTAGTTAATATTAATGATGTTTTTCAGTGGAATTTTTCTCACATGTGTTACCAAAAATTAAGTATGAATAATTCAAATCTACACAGAGTTAAATTTTTATCATCAAAAAATATTTGATGTATGGAGAATGCGATTAATATATAACAGCATATATTTCTAATTTAATTTTAATTAATGAAGATTGATAAAATTCAGTCGACAGGAATAACAGGTATAACTCTAATGCAGTATTTTTTTGTCAATTGTCAATAAAAATGTTAAATAATTTAAAACACTGAATATAGTTTTTTTTTCTCCATTTGTCCTTGATTATTCCAAAAGAATCGTTTATAAATATGCGAAAAACGCAAATTGATAGAGTCATTGATTAAATATATAGGTAACATTGATTTTTCAGAAGATATGTCATCCGGTTGGAAGATCAGAAATGTGTATTTGGCTGATTGCTTGAGGTTAGGAAAATTAACAAAAATTACCAGATTATAACAGGATTTATGTGTTTCAGCACGTTGTACTCTAAGTTTTAGTGACAAAAAGATTGATGATAGTTTTATAGAGATTCATGAAACATAAAGGATTGTTTCCTGCCATATAAAGTTTCGATGGAAAAGATAAATGATTACATTTTGCGTTACTTTTTTCAATGATATTAAATTGGAAGATGTAAGTTAATTTGAAATTGTAAGGAAAAAACTGTAAACCGGTTACGAAGGTAATCGTGTACTGCAAGTTATAAAGTTTTCAGACACTGTTACGATTTTCAAAAAATGAAACGCAATACGATACAGCACGTTGTGCATTTTGTTCTGGCTGATTTTTTATAGTTCCAAATGTATAAAATTCATGAATTCAATCTTTTCAAACCTTTCCTCTCTACAGATTTCTCCAAATACCTGAGAAGTTTAATTCTATTATTGAATTATAGCATTACATTTATTGAGATACTAAATAAAAGAATATCATGCGAAATATTAAGAGATGTTGACGACACAACTTTCATTATTCGTAGTATTCACTGTTATCGTTTGGACAACTGCAAACAAGGAGAATTCTCCAATTGCAAGGTAAATGTCTTTCGTGATATCATAAGGCTAAACTGAAAAATAATTTTTGAAAATTTTTTAGATTTAAAATTGGAAGTTTTATGAATATGTTAAAGAAAAGAAAAAATTTTTTTCGATATCAATTTTTATTTTTTGTCTACTCTAAAACATAAATTACAAATCAAAAGAATTCAGATCAAAGAAATATGAACATATTTTCTCCTTGGGATCGAAAATATCACCAGAAATTGCTCTAAGTAACAACATTTTATTGTGCTGCCTTCAACAAATAAGGAGAAATCTCGGCCGTGTGATCCAGCAAACGACCATATCCTGTAAAACTACTTGTGATGTTATTCGTCCAGCAGGAGCTCTTTACGTAAGGGATGTCCCTGATTCAGGGCCTTTATTACCGATTCGGAGCAAACTGCAATTCGGTTCTTCCGATAGTAGCAATTCCACATTTATTTCAGACTCCGCTTGTAAGAGTTCCTTTTATTCATATGGTTGATCTTCAAGAAAAGGTAAAGAAATTTAGGCATAACGGAAGACAGAAATCTCATTTCATTTTAAATCAATCATTTTTAATAAACAATTAGCACTTACTTATATCAATCATTATTTCAGTTAAAGTTTATTTTAAAAAATTAAAAATGAAATGATTTAAATGGCGGAAAAAGTATAGATAAAAATTCATAGCTAATACATTAAATTAATACCGACATATCTTTGATTTTTAAAAACGAAAAAAAAATTGCTTTAAATTCAGTTAGACCACATTTAAACATTGAGAAATTTTAGATGGTTATGGCAATTTGGCTGGCAATGCTCGAAATGGTGATATTAATGGAAAATTACGAAGTTTTAAGCTACAAATACCATTCCCTGCTATTGGGTCACGTTTTACCACTTCATGGGGTACAATAAAGGAAATACCTATTCCGAGGGAATTTCGACAATACACGAAAATTAGTGGCAATCTGCTTCACAAGACTACATACAGTGCGCATAAACCACCAGCATTTATCAGTAGTAATTATACAAGCACTTATCTCCACTCAGGTAATTTTATTCCTTTGATTATCTAAACATTTTTAAATTTATTCATACATCTTTTTATTAGCACTTAGTAAATGGGAAATATGAAAGCAAATTTCCAAAGGGCTAATATGGACCACTATTTCCTTAGCTTTATCGGATCACTAATTGCTGCTACTTATTCCTCTCTCTTCTATACCGATCCTTTCTCTATCTCAATCATTTCCGTTGTAATACTTTTAAGATAAACTAATTAATTGTCATTTGTTATTATTTCAAGATCTAATATTCTCACAGTTAGTTTAAATTTCGATAGATAGCAATTTCAGTTGCAAAATCGAAATTTATTTTTCAACGAATAGATTGACAGATACTAACAAAAGTTGAGATGAAACCCAGAACTGATATATTTCTATGATAAATTTGAAATTTAAGAAGAAAGAAATACCGGTTCCACATCATACAGACGATTATCACATATGGAAATTCCATCAATTAGTTCAACTGATACATATATGACAGAGGGAAGAAGAAAATTAATCGCCAGTTACATCAGACCGATGTTTGTTTCCACTTTAAATTTACAAAAATTTTTCATATTCTAAATTAACTTAAATTTCGACAGGTAGCAACTTCATAACCAAAATAGAATAAATTTGTAATTTGAAAATGCAGAAAACATAGCTAATGAGATGGCAAGTTCATAATTACTAAAATGAAATTTACAAAAAAAAAACATGCTTTCACTCTGTTGCCTTAACATGCATTATAACGTGGAGAAAATTTTATTTGAATAGCAATAATAAACTGAATAAACAACAGATAGAACAGAGAGGTTAAATGGGTCAAGAAATTAATGAAATTTTAAATTTTACTAAAAGGAGGAGAATTAATAAATTTAAATTTTTTTAAAAAAAGAGGAGAATTAGCGGATGAACTGAATATGTTATTTGATTAGCTAATTCTTCTTCATAAGAGTATCGATTAAGATGAAAATATATTTTCTTTTATCACTAATTTTACGAAAGTTTTTCTTGTCAACTTTCCTTATCATTTCATATGAGCTTCATTGACTGAATTTACTGAAGGGATATGACAATGGAGGATAAGCAAAGTCATACGTTGGACACTACACAAATTAATTATCTTAATCCGGATCCACAAACACAAGTGGCCGCGAGTGAGATGGTCCATGAAATATCTAATGGTCAGCGTTTGCCTCTTTCAAATAATGTGAAGAATGAAGCTCTAAAAGCTTTTAATAAATTATTCTCTTAACAGCATAATCTAACAAAGACATTAGCATTACAAATAGATTAATAAAAACGTGAAAATTGGACTGGAAGTTTAGCATGAAATCAACTTACACTAATTTAGCATAAAACACAAATAAAAAATCTGAAAAAAACAATTGAAAAAGATTTTAAAAAAAAATTTTAAATTGACTAAACCTAAAAGTTTCACATTTCAGGTGAATGTTTTTTTGTAGTGTTTTTCAGATCGGAAACAAAAATTGAGATAATCAAATATAATACGGAAGATTTCATCCTCCAAATCGAAGACATTTTATGCTTGGTGAAGTTGAAATTATGCCAAGTGGATAAAATTTAAATTAATTGCAAATTTAAATGTAATCGACAAATTTTCATCTGTTTTTCAATGTCATTTCCCATTTCCTATGACTTTACCATACATAAATTGTTCTCATACTGCCTGGCAAATATTGTCCTTCTAACTATCCTCTGTTCTTATCCTTCTATCAGTGGAACTTTTGTTGAAATTTAGGTGAGAATATTATCAATTCCACCGCAATATCTTGTGAACTTCTATTCCCATTGAATAATTAATCACATTTTTACTGAAAAAGTATGATTATCAATATTGATAAGAACTGGTTAATACATTTTCTACATAATATTGAAACAAATGATAAGCTTTTAATTTCTACAAGTTGGACCTGAAAAGCTTGGAATCTATTGAACGATAAAGTCAATACAGTACTGACCTAGCAATTAGAAATGCAAATAAGTGACACTCAATTTTTCACATAATAATAATTAGAAATATGAAGGAATTCTGGCACTTGCAGATTTTTTCCCTTTCTTTTTAAAATAAATTAGCAAAGACAGGTAATTAAACTTTGAGCTCACTGAGAGACGAATTGTTTTTTTATTTGTTTGTGTATGTCCAAACTGAATGATAATAATCACCGTTATGCATGGCTACAGTACAAACAAATTATGCATATTTTCAATTTTTCTTTTATCTTATTTTTTAACAAGTAAACATTCGATAGTCCAATAAAATTATTCCAAATTTCATAACTTAGTAAATTCTTTCAAAATAATGCACGGACATTGCAGAAGAGAAGAGAAGTATAATATATCTCAAAANAAAAAAAAAAAAAAAAAACTCGAGAGATGAAGAAGGGGATTTAGCGCAATGTTACTCTTCTTAACAGAACTATCAGTGAAAGTTTTAACTCAGGGATTACATCTTCTCCACGCAAGTTAACACGTCACCATATTTTATGCTGAACTAAGTTTAGAGACAAGGATTTGACATCTATACCGGTCAAACATTCAGTAACAATCTTAAATAGGAATCAAACATTCTCCGGTCCTTCTCAGTTTCATAATTCGAATCATGCAATCAATATGCAACATTTCCCCTGTTATGAACTTCTGTGAGTTGGAAAGGATAGGCGATATATGATCAGTGGTAGGGACTGATGAGGGTCGGGATTAACTGATGTTGGTCAAGGCTGAACTAACTTGGAGTGGTGATGAAAGCAAGAGAGAGGACTGTAAGAATAAGAGAGATGGGTGAAGGAAGAAAGGCATTACTAAGGCTAAATTGACTCATTTGAAATCTGTTAATTAATCAGTTGCTCGAATTTTGGTTACTAAACTTAGCTATGAGTCGATATATACTGTTAATGTTTACTCGTATCCAATTGTTAAAAAGGTAAAATCAAATTATAGGACTTTTTTTTTCAAAAAAAGGATGAAACCTGATTAATTCTGATACATCTCATTTTGTCAAATAAGGTTGGATGAAAAACTAAAATTTGAGCGTATATATTTCCATCTCTTTTTAAAACACATAAAATGAACCAAATAGAAAATATCACATTTTTTAAAATATGATATTTTCTATCCGGTTCATTTTATGTGTAACAAAGTTCTTTGACTTCAAACTTCGATGTCTGACTGTTTTTTGAAAAGCGTACATGGAGAAATTATTGTAAGGAGGTTCTATAGAGTTCGAACTTCGCAGGGTAACAGTATTGAGAAATGGTACACTTACAAACTTATGAAATTCTTTTTAGCTTAATGGAGAAAGCGATCTTTGCATTAGATTTTGAACAGATCAAAGCGGCTTACAAAAAAATGAAAGAGGATGGGTAAGGTATTTCTTTAAACCAGAAAATTTGCTTTCCATCTATAAATATATGTGTTTACGCTTCTTTTTCGTACGTATGGTCACAAAACGGAAGTTCTTGCACTTTTACTGTTGGTCTGTATTTAACTCTCGATGATGTCTAAAAAGCCTTTTAATTTAAAAATATAGTTTTACGTTCATTTGATCAGTAATTGAGTTGTTAGGATATAAATTCTGTGACAAGAGACCGTACATAGATAATTGGAAAAGCAAACATATATAGCAAAGAAATTTCAGGAGTGCTGCCGAAGTAATTAGATTGACGATCGAGAATGCCATACATCGGAAAGCATTTGAAATTGCACAGTCTGCGATTAGTGAACAAGAAAATCTTCTGAGACAGCTACTGGTAGTTACATTCCAAGCTGCCAAAGAAGGTACGTCTTCAGATTTCGTTTCCGCAATTTTGAGGCTTTCTAATTTGCATCCAAGATCTTTTAAAGCCCAACTTTAAATTACAGATTTTTGTGCAAAAGGAACAACAGTTGCTGTTGTACAAGATGTATTCGATGTCAGTCCAGTCAAACGTTGCGAAGAACTTTTCGGCGTTGTTGAAGACAATTTGCCACAATGGAAAATGGTGCACAGTTCCCACTGTTTTGTCTCTCTTAAAATTTTTGATTGAGCGATTTCATCGTGTATGTTTTACGTGTCGCATTGCTTTAGGGCATTTTTTACGAACCTTGCAAAAATATGATATTACGGATGTGTAATGACTTGCTGAAGCGCCTTTCACGAACGGTGGATACGAGCTTTTGCGGCAGAATTTTAGTTCTCTTAGCACATGCGCTACCGTTGTGTGAAAAGTCCGGCTTAAATCTTGTCAGTCATTTTAATCTGGACAATATTACGAAATATGATTTGGTAAACATTGGTCGTTTATTCGTATAGCACTTTTTCCTTCAATTTACTAATGTGATAGTGATGGATTTATTTCCAGAAATCTGTCACTTTCTTTGTTGAATAATTTAACTGCTTCATTTCTCGAGATGTGGCCTTTTTATCTTTAGGCCGATTCGTGCCTTGCTGTTAATTCAAATTTAATGGAGGATAATGACGTTATGGAAGTGGGCGAAATAAGTGAACGGTAATTTGTTCTATTCGCAAATTTCTAATTAATGTTTTTAAATTTTTGCTTTTTACAAAACTTTTCTGATTATATTTGATATGCATATTGGTTAATGAAGGCAAAAATAATGTTGCGCCTTCATTTTACTGACAGAGGAACCACATCTGAGACTAGGAGTCGCTGTAGTATTTTTCAATTCATTGGTTCTAACTTGTTAAGATAATTTTCATATTTCTTACAATTTTTAAGGGAAATCCCAGTGGACTATACACTTTACGCAAAATTTTGGCAGTTACAATCTTTTTTCTCTTCTCCAGCAACGTGTTTTGAAAAATCGAAGTGGAGGACATTTCAGCAGGTGTCGCATAACAATTTGTTTTGCATGATTTTCATTTATTAGTGCTAGATATGAGATAACTTTCTGCAAAAAATTGACTGTAGTTAATAATTATTCTTTCATAGAATACAACTGAGGTGCTCAACATATTTTCAAGTCATAAACTGGAATCGTCTGCAGCCCTTGAGGGCTCAAAAAGAGAACGCTTGAAGCAGGTCACTTTTGCATTTTTTTTATTCTGAATTTGTTAAAATATCATTTATTAACAGAATATTCTCATCCTACACGATTCATATATTGTTTTTTAAAATTTATGCCCAACCTTCTATCTTTATACTAAAGATTTCTTACTCTTAGGAAAATTCAAATGATGAAATTGCTGCAATTCCGTCAACCTCAAAAACTGCTGGAGATGAAGACATTTATTTTGCTAAATATTTGACTAGTCAAAAGGTAATCACTAGTTTCAAAAATTCATTAACATTTTACACAAGAGTTACGCTTTTAAAATTACTCATTTTTCGAAATTAGTTTCATTTGAACCACACTTTTTCAGCTGTTGCAGTTACAGTTGAATGATTCTCAGTTTCGACGTTACTTCCTCGTGCAGTGCCTAATTCTATATCAATATTTAGTATCCGATATCAAATTCAAAGAGTAATCTTTTGGTTTTTTGAATCAGTTCTCTATAGTTTTTAATCTTTCTACATATTACATGTTGTAAGTGGAGAATGTTTTTCATCTTTTTGTTTTTAAGCAAATCCTTCACTTTGAATGACGAACAGTTACGATTTATTATTGAGTCCACTGAAAGGTGTTTTCGATTACTGCGTGAGACGCATCCGGAAGGGTCGCATTTTGCTGATGCTATGAAAGTATGTTTTCACTATTTCAAGATTCAGAAGATTGTGATAAAGAAAGGGAAAATTACTGTTTGAATATGTTTAGGTAATTCTTCATCGTGAAAAGGAATGGTCTGAGTGGAAGAACAAAGGCTGTCTTGATTATACGCAACTAGCAGACAAAGAAAAACCAAGCGTTTTCAAAAAGTGAGCCATACGACTGCTTTTAATTAACTGAATGTGAAACACACATTGGAACCTTGAAACCACATTACAAATGTTTCTTACTTTGCAAAAGTTATAATGATATATCATATTGGATCTTATAATTGAAACATTTTCAAAATTAAAAAGAAATAAAGTGAAATGGTTTTCCCCGCCCTTATTATTTTCAAGTTTATTGATATGCATGATAAGAAAGTGAAGAGATTTTTTATTAACATTGCTTGTAGGCGTCCTAGAAATAGGTACGATCCCTCAAAACTTGATCTGGGCAATTCAGAGCTGACGAAGCTATGGAATATCAATCCGGACATGTTATCAGCTTGCGAAGACTCAAAAAGGTAAAATTTGAATAGAAAGCTTCTAGAAAAAAAGTAAGCTCTAGTTGCACAGTGGCTAATAGAAGTGATGCCGTTGAGGAGTTTATATGACTGAAATCACTTTATTCCATGAAAAGATTATTGCGAGTAGGCCGCACTTTCCACAAGAACACACTCGCTAATAAATGGAACGTTGCATTCAAGAGAACTTTCTTAAGTGTTGCAACATTCATTTATTAGCGACTGTGTTCAATGGCATCACTTCTAATATCGAGTTTGCAACAAGACATTTGGTATGATAAAAGTACATAGCTACAATTTTTTTAATGAGTGACCTAATGTAAGGGCATGATTGTTTCAGAAATTTTATACCGAAATTGGTTAACTTTCTTGAAGATCCTCTCGACGAACTGAATCCGGAACAAATGGTTGAAGAGCAGTACAGGTAATTTTCAGTGCAATGTTTTGTGTTCTTTGATCTTTTAATTTTAGATACTGTCAATGTTCAGTGACTGTGAATTTAGTAATGTTAAGACTTCATTCCTTTTTATGGAGAAAGAAAATATATTGTTATTTTAAAATTTCGCTGAAAAATATCAAAAGTTATAGAAATAAATAAAAAAATTGACTTGAGTGTTTATTGCCGTTGTCTATAGATTGTAATTTTTGTTCTGAATTGCTTTCAGATCAATAACCAATGAATCGTTTCAGTGGAGAGCATCACGGCTTCTGATGTCTCAAAGCACGTCATATTTTCAAGTACGTTTTCTTTATGAATATTTTAATACCGTGAATTAAAATCATTGATTTCAGTTTGTGCACAATTTTAGATACCATCAAAAAGAAATGAAGTAACAACAAATTTGGCACCATTTTTGGAGGAAGTGATCAGGCACACTGCAGCTAATTTCCCTGTTAGTGATTTGAATTTTGTCATTTTACGTAAATTGACTTGAAAAAGTATTTTACAGCTTCTGATATTTCAGGAGTTGAAAGATCGCATTCCAGGTTTTACAGATAACAAAAAAAGTATCAAAGGAACTGTGAATAATGCTAATAGCTGTGCTTCATCGGCTCTTCACAATGGGTTCCTTTATTTCTTTTTATTATCTTTTGAATTTTTTGCTTGCAGTGATATCACTTTCCTTCCTTTTTTTGACATTGATACAGTTATCAAACCAAGCCTAACAGCTAATAGTCTTCTTATGAACTGTTTGCGTCGTATTATTTGATATAACGTGTTTTGGATTTGTGTAGAAAAAATTTTTAAAATTATAAGTGGTCTCGTTTCTCATCACTAATAGGGGTTAACTGTATTAGTGCAGAAATCACCATCTTATAAATTGTAATAACTATATTTAATGAAGGATCCATAAAGTCATTACGTTATTGGTTGCAGGGATGACTAGTTTCTTTTGTTATATTTCCAAGTTTTTAGGAAGGAACATATTGAACCCTCTGCTGCTTTGACTGATTCACATATCGAACAGCTTGCACCGTTGCTAGCAAACAGTTGGTCAACGTTAGCGGATGTAATGAATATCAACAAAGAAAGGAATGATGCAAAAGATGAAGTGCGAAGCACAGTGATATTTTTATATTAGTTTGATATATATGTTTGGCTATATTCTTATATATATGAAATCCTATCAGAATGTTTAATTTTTCTAAACTTTTTTTCTTGTTTCAGCCTATGAAAGTAGCACAAAGAATATTGACAGCCTGGAGACAGAAAGAGGGAAAAGGAGCAACGGTTAAAAGGATTAGTAGTGTTTTACTGATGGCTGAGTTATTCAGTGAACAAGTTGGACAAGTTTTTAGAGGGGTTAGTCTTTTATCTCTATTCATTAATCTTTTTAACTTTTTGTGAAGTATTTTGAGCGCTATATGAACATATGCATGTTTCAGAATACACCAAAAAGGATCTCGACATGAGGACTATGTTTACTCAGTATAATGTTCTTCATAACTGCCGTTCTGATCTCGGAACTGAAACCTTTTATTATTTATTGTCAAGTTATATTTTTTCCTTTCCACTACAGTTTGATAAGTCAAAGAAATAAAACTGTGACTTCAGCTCTGAATTTTGATTGCTTACCTTCGCAGATCCCAGATTTTGCTTCTTCCAAGTAATGTTTCAGTAAAACATGCCGTTGATCAGTCATATTATTATCTCTTTAGTGATCTAAGTAAAATGTAATTTGAAGAGAAAATTAGTAAAATATAATTTAAGAATTGCTTATTTTTTTCCATTTCTATTATTTTCATTATCTTTTAATCACACCACTGTGTTCTATTTTTTGTATTGTTCATATGTTATATTTTGGTTTACAAAATGAATAGAAAGAACTAGTTTTTGTTACTGGCATCGTGATAATGCTTAATGTGTCTTGATACATTGCATATTTTCAGCAATTTTTGAGATTTGCAATAGAAGTTTTATGAATTAGTGATGCAAATTTCTAATGGAAAGTTTCAAACAATGAAGCAATGACCCTGTGCGCTACTTACAGTGGGAATTGACACATTTGTGAATTTTTTGACTTTCTTACAATATAACTATTTTCACGTTTTCTTCAGTTAAAGATTAATGATTATAATTTTCTGAATTTATGCATTAGTAGTTGCTAATGAGGAGTGTACATAAGCCAGTGGTTCAAATAGAAGTGCTGGGAAGCGGTTTTTCATTCCTTGACTGACAATTTGTTGTTCTGATCGAAAACTGTTAGAATTTTAGTAATGCCTGCAAGTAGCTGATTCCGATGACGAAGTTTCATGATGGAGTTCGGATTTCGTTCAATATTGCGTAAGTATTTGTACAGTTCTTTGTTTTCGATGAACTTTCTGAATAATGTTTTATATAAACTTTCTCGATAGTTATGTACGGATTTTCTTTGTGCAAATTAACTTTTGAATATTATAGGTTAGTCTCGGACTTCTTTTGCCCAAATGCAGGTGGTGTGGAGACGCATATATATTTTCTAGCGAAATGTTTGCTGCAATTGGGGCATAAAGTAATTGTAATAACCCACGCTTATGGCAAGCGGCGTGGCATTCGATATCTTTCGAATGGACTCAAAGTAATCAATACTGTATTTTCGCTAATATATTCGACTTTCTTTTGCCTATTGTATTGAATCTGAGGTATGATCTGTTATTTTTCTAGGTCTATTACCTTCCGTTTATTGTCATGTACAATGGTAGTTGCCTCCCATCGATCATCGGTTCGTTGTACTGGTTTCGACGAATATATTTAGAAGAACATATACAGATAGTACATGGCCATTCTGTGAGTTGAAATAATTCATATTTTAAGTGTATAGATTTTATTAGAACTTCAAGATTATCTTGAAGGGTTTAACTGTCCTCTGTATTTATTTTCGCATTACAGACATTTTCAACAATGGCACACGAAGCGATGATTCATGCCTGGTGCCTGGGTTTGAGAACAACATTCACTGATCATTCCCTTTTTGGCTTCGCTGACGCATCTGCGATTCTCATGAATAAATTAGTATTGCGGTATTCACTTGCCAATGTGAATAGAGTTATTTGTGTCTCGTATACTAGGTGGGTTTTCACTACAGTTATTTTTTATAATCTTTATCTAGACAATGATTTTTCATGATATACATAGCATACGGTGTGGTATTCTTTATAGTATTGAATATCTCTAAGACGAAATTCTGTTCATCTACACTATTGGCTTTAGCATGTATATTCATGCAATCTAATATTTGCATATTATTTCAGCAAAGAAAATACGGTATTGCGAAGTGGTGTACTTGCAAGTAAAGTTGCAGTTATTCCAAACGCAATTGATACTGATGTGTTTGTGCCCGATCCATTTTTGTTCCGGAACAATCCAACGACGGTTATCGTTCTTTCCAGACTGGTATATCGTAAGGTAAAGTTCATTTTTATAAACTAACTAGCAAGTGCTTTTTTTGGTTATAAACTATAGAAATATTTTTCTACAAACACCAATGTGCAGGCCAATTCCTATGTATATCAGTTTCTTTTTGTTTTCATTTTTCAAATCACAAGAAATATTCTTTGAATTAAGAGCTGAAATTATCTCTTGATTTTGATATTTTCTGGTTTGACTTTTTAAATTGCAGGGAGCTGATATATTAATAAGAATTATACCTCGTGTTTGTTCACTTCATAATTCGGTGCGATTTATTATTGGGGGTGATGGACCGAAACGGATTGAAGTAGAAGAAATGCGCGAAAAATACTGTTTGCAAGATCGAGTAACCATGCTAGGCACACTTCCTCACAATCAGGTTTTTATGGATTGAGCTGTTTTATTTCACCAGAACTTAAGGAAATTCATCTAGAGTTTGTTTTTACCTTGTCTACAAGCTAGAGGGTAGCAGAGGTTCCGTCATTATTAAAATTGGGCTCACATATTCCATTAATTATGTTATTAAGTTTCCCAAATGTGCAAATTGGTACGATCCTGTGATGAGATGGAATCAATACAATACTTACTTTTCACATTTAAAATCATTATAGGTGCGCGATGTTCTTGTACAGGGGCAGATATTTTTGAACACTTCGCTTACAGAAGCCTTCTGCATAAGCATTGTTGAAGCTGCTTCTTGTGGGTAAAGGATTTTCATTGCTATTCTTATATTATACTTTATTTTTGCATCCGTTCACTGGAGTAGTGTTTATTTTTTAGCCTTCACGTGGTTTCTACACGGGTTGGTGGAATTCCAGAAGTTCTGCCGGAGGATTTTATCGTGCTAGTGGAACCTGAACCAAACAGTAGGTTGATGATATACAAACAAAACTTTTATTTCTGCAAAAGTCTTTTATTTATGCCGCATACGCGTGAAAGTTTATTAATGGCACAATTCTTTACAGCTGGTTTACACAGCTTCATTAATTCATTAGTTTGTTTGAAATATAGATTTGACTGACGCTTTGCTGAAAGTGATTCGATTGCGAGAAAATGGGCAGTTAACTGCACCGGAAAAGAAGCATGATGTGATTTGTGGCATGTATCGTTGGCCTGACATTGCGAAAAGAACTGAAAAAGTTTATCTTTCTGCACTGCAATGCCCGCAATTGTCTTGGTTTGAGGGACTCTTAAGGTACATATTCATAATAGTTTTAAATTAGCAATAAATGCACTGAATTCTTATGTTAGTAAAATTTGAGATTCTTATATTAGTAAAATTTGAGATCATATCACTATAGAGCTTACATTTCAGATATTGCGCGTGTGGAATTGGACTCGGTATATTGTATGTTTGGGTTGTTTTGTTAAACATGATCTTCATCACAGTTCTTAACTACTTTGACCCAGTTCCGGTATCTTTTTTTAAAGAAAAAGTACGTATAATGCTTTTGGGAGGATTTTCAAATTTTTTTCATTATGATGCGTATTTGCAGTCTACGAATAATTGGGAAGCAGAAAACAGATCGCCTCGTCCAGTAAAAAACGGTCTTCTTACTAAACGTTTGCTTGGCCCACATTCTTCTACAAGCAATATTCGAAATAAGCACTAATTATATGCACTTATTCATATCATACATTTATCATTTCACCAACTTTTATCTTTTTTATTTCATAGTTTCTTGATATTGTATTGATAATTTATAAAATGTTTATAGATTTCTGTGCTGACTTTATTTTACCCATATCTGACGTTGTGAATGCTCATAACTAGTTTGTTTTTTAATCGCATCGGAGAAAAATTCAAAAAATTGCGCAACATTATTCAAACATTTTTTAACATAAAAAACCAGTGTGCGGGTACTACCACTAACATCAATGAAATATGATTAGGTTTAGGATTTGTCATAATTTATTTCACATTCCACATCAGTATAGGATGCAGATAAAAATTTTTTATACACATATAGACTGGCAGTCACAAAACATGAAAGGGTGATTGGCAAGTTACATTAAGGAATATAAGGAAAAACTATGCATCTCTGATTTATTTAAAATTCCTGTGTAGCTATGTCTCTATCTTCAGGTTGACTTAATCGCATGCTGATCAAACTCTAATTTTTCAGATCTAGTTTGCGATGAAATTGTAAGCCTTATAATACGGTTTTCGGATTTATTCTAAAATTGATAAAGGTCACAATCGTGCACTTAGAATGGAATTCTGACCCGTAATCACATTATCCTAACTGGTCGCAGTATTCGACCATTTTACCAATTTTATTGTGCATTTAAGCAGTGATTATAGAAATTGTTGGTTTATATTACAAATGAACCGTCTGCAGTTATCACATTTAATATTACATGCGAGATATTAGTTACTAACAGCAGAATATTATAAGTTTGCTACGAGAAAAGCTGTAGAAGTTTGATTAATTAATTATTCTCTTATTCCGTTATTTTCTAGTTGTTAATTAATATTTCACTTTATGTGTTGGATAGCTGAAATGCTAAAACTGATGCATAATTTTGTTTTGATTATAATGGTTTCTTCGCTCTGTAATCGATTCTTAACAGAATCAATCAGTTCATTTTCAACTGTCTCCACTGTATGAAAATACATTATTGAAATTGAATTTTTGATCAATTTTTATAAATCAGTTTCATTATTTCCTTTCTGAAGGTGAATAAATATGTTTGCTGCTCAGTTATGAGAACTAGTGATTGTCGTAATAAATTAATTTTAATTAACTATGCTGCTGAAAAAAAAGCTAATTTGCATTTCTACTGATATTTCAAAATCATTCAAGCAACGGGTTTACCACGACTACTTATTTAGATTAGTTGTGGATCTTTATTTCTATATTAATTAAAAGAAAAGTAACGTATACCTAAGTTACCAAGATAAAACAATGAACATAGATTACAAAGACATCATGGACATTAAGCATTTTACTGACATCGAGAACAAATTTTCGCAATCGTTGTTCGAGCAGCTTCAACTCCTGCTGGTACAAATATGAAAGACAGAAAGGGGTGGAGCAAAACATCTCAATTTCAGTTATTAAGGTTAACGGTGTATGTCTTGAAAAAGAAATGGCAATGGATCGATACTTAACTGTAAGCTAATATTCCGAATTTTGAAAGTTTGGGAAATTTCTAAAACTTTTCATCTAATTTTTGCAGTATTGTTAAATTTAACTGTTTAGATAACGTTTTCCTATAATGTGACGTAATCATATCCGCGTTCGATTTGCATCCTGCATATATAAATGACGGCACGAATTGGTCAGGATTTCAGGAAAACGACTATAGAAGTAGTCGGCGCAGATGAGTGATGCCTTGAGGGCGTCTATTGCTGCAGCTACTACTGCTGCTTATCGATTTCACAGTGACAGTAACGAAACTAATGCCTCTTCGTTGGATATTCATTTAGGGGTGAAATATTTTGTTCAAATCTCGTCATAACTGACAAATTCAGTTTAAGAAAGTGTAAATAATAATATAAATAATAACAGTATTTATGATTCAGTTAGTCTTTATTTTATACTCACAAGTAATTTATTCACGAATTTCGTACATGCAATAATTTCGTAATTAATTTTATATTATTTCTAGCGCAGTGACAAATAATTAGAATTATGCTAAGCTACAAAATCGGTTGTGATAAAGAGAGTCTTCAATCTTATTTTGATATTTTAGCTCTCTAATTGTATATTTATTTCTGCATATTTATCTTTTTGGTATTCACTTGTTCTTTACATTAAAAAGTTAAAAACATTGGCATCTCCAAGTTTTTCTATTAAACAAAGCAGTTTTAGAAATTAGTACAGTTAACGAATATTTTGGATTCATCGGCCAGATTGAACATACATGATCGTCAATTATGTGAGCTACTTCGACATTGTTCATTACTACTGAATGGTATTTCCACATCGCCAATTACTCGTTCCCGTTTGCATCTCTTTCTTTTCAATTTAGGTTGGCTATTTTTTTTAGTTTTTTTGATTTTGAACTCAAAAATTTCACTAATTTTTTTTCTTAGTATAGCATTCATTTTTGTTGAAGAATGGTATAGTTTTGCAGAATTCACAATACCAAGACTTATTTCATATTTGGTTACATATGTATGCTCGAGTTTTGATATCTAACTTACTCAGGCGAACAGCTACCATTACAGAAATGTAATCTTAATGAATTCAGAGCAGATATTGGCATTATGAGGATCATTTTTACACTTAGTAATAAAAAATGCATTCTAGCTTTTTACAATATCTCAATCAGAAAGTATCTGGCGGGTGAAGATTTACAAATTTGTGGATCAGTTTTTGAATGCCTAAAATTGTCGCTGCGAGATCAGCTTGGCCCACAGAATCTTATCGACGTATTGCGATTACTTCAGGTATGTTACATTTGTGTTGGTAGGTTTAATAATGTATTTTCGATTTTGTTGCTGACACTTTTTTGTTTAGGTACTCACTTATGAACGAAATGTAGTGCTTGGAATATGGACGAATGATCTTATTTCATTTCTTTTAAGCGAAGTGTTAGTTTTAACCTTGTAACATTATTCTGCGCTTATATTCATTTAGCACATGCTTTTGACCTATTTACTATTTAATGCGCATATCTTATAGATTCTAATCTGTATAGTTTGTACTCAATTTCATACCATATTCCTTTTTCTGTCGTAATGCGCATTTAAAAATTTTAGCAGCGAAAATGGACTTTTAACTATTAATTAATTTAATTTGATTTCCTATAGAACTTGTGATGATGAGCCGGAATGGCTTCCTTACTGTATGGCCATACTATGTAATCTGGCTGCTCGATCAAAATCTGCTTGCTTAAGAATACGAAAATCGGTGAGTGCATTTTTCTTTGAGTTTGCAAAAAATAGTTGTAGATTCTAAAAAACGATGCATGAATTTCACGGTTTTTTTGGATTATGATAATGATATGCTGACATTGTTGCAATCACTCTTATATGAAAAGCACTTGTAGTCATCCTATAAAGCCTTTACCCACAAACTGCTGAAGCTATTAGCTCATGATTCGCGAACTGTGGTTATTTCATCTCTCGTACTTGTCGGTTTTCTGGAGGAAAAACTTCGTGACACGGTAAGTTTTTTAAGCAATTTTTTAAGTAATTTTTGTTAAGTAGTTTTTGAATGCTAATTCAAATTTCAAGCATAAATTTTTTAGTGCACAATGGAAAAGTCTTAATTATGTTTTATGCCCTTCTGATATTTAAAGGAAAGCCTTATGAGATCAGTTAATGTGAAGTGATTTTATCCGTAGAGTTTTAACACTTTTCCAAAATGGAAAAAACAGTTCGTAATTTAAATTGAAGGTATGTTTTGTATTCATGCAAAAGAAATAGCTGGAAAAATTGTTCACTTCAGGTATTTTGTGCTCGAAACATTCCTCAGACTTTCCGGTGTGTTTTCAACGTTTTAATTTTGGGAGACCATCTCATGACTCGGCACATTGCTGTTGATTTACTGAAGCGATTGATCATTAACAACTCTTCTAGTGTATGTCTTTAAACTATCGTAATCATTTTAACTTTTTAACATTATACCTAAACATTTCTTTGTCTTTGCTAGTGGGAAAATGCTTGGATCTGTATTGCTACCTCATCTTTTTAGCAGTATTTTATTTTTAGATAATAGACATAAAAAAATGGAAATAAGCTAGACTTTACAGGTGTCATCACTTCCAACAATTACATCTACAGGCAAAGACCTCGCTTCCTATCCATATTTCGAAAACACGATTCAACTTGTTGCAGGCCTTTTTGTCCAGATTGATCCTCGCACTGAAGAATCACTTAAAGCAAGTTTTTTAAAAATGATTACTTCACTTTAAAATCGTATTCATATTCTTATGTGTTCTATAAGATTTTTGAAAATTTACCTTGTGAAAGCGTTTGTAGGTATACGATCTATTTTTGTCATTTTGTTCGATAGCACAGTTACGATCAGCAATTACCCAAGCTGTTTTGCGATGCCCATCATACGAAGAGAGGCTAACAACGCCAGTTCTAGCTATTTGCAACACATCTGGTCTATCCTTCGATGAAGCCATTCAGCCTGAAATCCCCTTGAAGGCCATACGTCTTCTCATTCATTTGCTTCAGGTACGGAAAAATGAAGTATTCAAAATGAAGTATCATTTTGATTTTTTCCATTTTGAAATTGGTCAGTTACGTTGACAAAAATCTGATAGAGAATAATGAGTGAAGAAATAAGCCTCAGTACATATTTCAGTTGATTTTTCCAAGCGTTTAAAAGTTTCTCCTTGTCGATGAACAGAGTAATCGTAGAACATCTATAAAAAAGGAACTTATATTTTGAAAAATTGGAAAATTTGATTTACATTAGACTCTTGGTTTTTATATTATTGAGTGTTTATCACAATAATCTGATCATTTATATTGAATAATTTTAAAAAAATTTTACGCAGGAACTGATCGAAAACAACGGCCATGTACAAGATGTTTTGCCTACTGAACATATTTTACGACTTATCGAAATTAACACAAAGACAGCGATTGAAACAGTCAGCAGCTTTATAAAATTCCAATGCCAAAAAATAACCGAAGGGTTGCGTCTTGCTGAAAGTAATCACTTACAATTCAGTTGCTCCGTAAAAAATATTTTATTTAGATACTATGATCACATCTGTAATGTGAATAATTTCGTATTAATTTTTTTTCAGCGGTTTTAAATGATGATGAAATGAAAACTGATTTATTGGAAGTTATTACTGCCCCGCTTTGCTCTCACATTATTGAATCGCAAATGATCTCAAATACTGTTGTTATCTACGTAGGACAACCTGCAATGCAGCGTGGTGGATCTTTGCCTGAATGGTGGTGAGTTTTGTCCCTTCAGACTTCGTCCCTACACCTTCAGATTCATAAATCAATTCCATCATTTATTTACAAGATATGTTCCTAGCGGTTGCACATTTTTCAGATTTCTGGAGTTTGTAAGGCATATAACTACATAATTCACTTTTTTGTCATTTGCAATGTGAAAAGTATATTTCTTCATATTGCTTAAGCAGAAGGATTTTTTTGGTTTGCTGGAGTAAACCGTTCCATTGCTCTTCATTCCGTGGTGTTAATTTGGAGTAGCAGATCATTTTCTTCGATTTTTGTCTAATGATTTTTTTGCATTCTCTTTTTGATATATGAATCATGTTAAAACTTATAGCGTTGATGGCGTGGCAGTCGTTTTGAAATTACTAAGAGTTTTGACCATGCTGAAGGATTATTCAAAGTCGCACAAAGATTTGTATTGGAAAATACTAAAGGTTATCGATTAACTAAATAAATACTCTATGTTTCGGAATTTATTTTTATCGTCTATCTTTCAGGACGATCGTCTAGTGCCATTTATCGCATATGCAGTCGCTGACGGCGGTGCCGACTTGGCGCATGAAGCTTTACTTCTTTACATGCATTGCGCACAAAATCACACTTTCTCTACAAAATGGTATATTTTCACTATTGATTTTCTGCTCAATTTTTCTTAATTAATTATTTTGAGGTTGGGAAATTTGATAGCAAGCTGTCCCAGAGAAAAGACTACAGTATCTAATGTAACAAGGAACTGTTTATCTCGGTAAGCTTTCTTCTCGTTTCTATTTCCATATTTTCTTTTGTCAGATGTCAGAAAACTTAATTGCTTTGGATTAAATACGAAATCATTGAAAGCATAATCTTTATTTATTATTGTTCTAGTAGCTCCTCCGAAGTTGTTTTAAATGGTGATTCTGATGGTTTTTCAATGGATGGTGGGAAAATATTCAGTGATCATTTGACACAAAAAAGTGAAACTGCAAAGCAAGTCGATGATCTAACAAATAAGCTACAGCAAGGAGATGTGAGTTTGAAATTCTCTAATCTTTAGCCTTGTCAGTAAAGCAGCGTGAACGAGAGATTTAATATTGAATTTCCATGGTATTCATTTTCTTTTATATTATTACATAAGTAAAAAATAGCGCCTAACAGTGAACAGGTTTTTCAGCCCAAAGATCCTCGAATATCTCAATTATTAAGTATGTATGAGAAGGAAGTACAAACTTTAAAGGTACTTTGAATTTCTTTTGCCTTTATTGGTCAGGTCATTTCTTTTGTCATAATCTCCCACTTTTCTCCTTTAGCTCATATTTTGTGATATCATTTTGATTTCGAGCTTAATTGGACTTAAAATATTTACAGTATACATTCTAAAAAGTGGATTCTAATGTTTAGACAGATAAAAGCGTTAAAGCTTTACCCAATAGATTATTACTGTACAGTTCGAGTTTTGCTCTTTTTCATTTCATTCTTAGCTTTGCGCATTGTATGTTTTAGATTCGAGAAAGAGAATTGGAAGGGATGATGGCAAGAATGGAAGATTCATTGCGTCTTAATGAACATCTTCAAAATCGTAACAAGGAAGATATTGAAAACGAAGTGATTGATTTAGATCTTGTTTAATCTCCAGAAAAATTTTAATTTTCACCTGCTTCAGTTCTTACAGGTAACAAATCTTCGGAAATTGGTTGCTGATTGCGAAAAAAAGATCGAGGGTCTGAATGCGCTTTTAATTTCTCTCAATTCAGAGAAAAAAGAAGTGGAAGAAGCGTGTGAGGCTTATAAGAAAATAGTGGAAGATAAGAAAATGGAGGTGGCTCTACTCAATGACGAGTAAGTTTACTTATAATTCAAGTAGACCATATGTTATTTTTACGTTCTGAATGTCAAGGACTGAAAAACTATATAGTGATTGTATTAGTTAATACCTTTTGATTTCGTGACATTCTAAATTTGTTCCGATAAGGCGAACTTTCGCCAAATTTATGAAAATCATAGATGGAATTCACAGTGATAGATACAAAACCATTATGTTTTGATGTATTCATTGTCTTTGCGTTCTTCCTCGCACTTTTTTTTACTTTCAGGCTTGAAAAAATGACGCAAGAAAAAAATATTTTGCAAGAAGAAAATAAAAGTGAAAGAGAGCTTGCTACACTAACAAAGAGCCGTTATGACGAGCTGAAGAAAAAATTTGCTCAGTGAGTTTTATTTGATATAATTTTAATGCTTTTCATGTCTTGTTTAAGGCAGACGAATTTTTATTTGTCAAGGTCGAATTGAGTTTAGAAAAAAAAGAAAGAAGAAAAAATGAAATAATATGCGGTAGACAGTATTCTATTAAATACTATTAAGCTGTTATATTTCCAGAGCATCAAATGCGTTGATTGATAAGGACAAGGAATGTATTCAACTCACCAATGAATTTAAAATCTTGGAACTAAATTTAGTAGCAAAAAAAGCCGAAAACAATGGTTTGCATTTCTCGCTTTGAAACACTTACAGAAATTCATTTGACTAATAACAACAACACTTACAATTATTGGCATTTATATCTAGTTTGATTCTTTCTTGTAAGAGTTCTCTGTTGTAATTCGCCTCGGAGTTTATTTTATACATTGCTTATATCACTAAAATATTGCATATTTCATGTAGAAATAATTTCCATTGTAAACAGTTTTAATCAGGGTTAAAACTTCAATACACCTTCTTTTACAGAGATGGCTGAGAATTTGAAGCATACGCAGAGAAAACTGGAGGAGATAACGAACGCCAAAGAATCTGAAGTGAAACGTTTGCAGAATGTGGTAATCATCTTTAAAATTTTTTGTTCTATTTTCACGGTAAGACCGCGTCGCATTACTTAATTTTTCAAAATGAAATTTCTCTCCATATATACAAATGATTATTTCTTGATGGAAAGCGTAAAAATCTTGGAAATCCGTTGCAGCTAGATGAGAAAAGTGGAGAAATCGAACGTCTTAACAAGGAGTTACAAAAGGTCTTAAAGTTCAAAAATCAAATGATGCAGATGATGAATGAGATTTGAATTCGACAATACTTTAATGCTCGGTGCTCCAAGTTCTTTCTGTTTATATTGTAAGGACAGTGACTTCTCAATTTTTTTACATCAGTTCCTTTTCTAGTTTTTTCTGTATATATTTTTCATTGTTCTATTTGTTATGGCTCAGAAAACGTATATTTTAGTGGCACGACGGTGACGTAATCCGTTTCTATTTTTTATGAACCCACTCTTAGTTATTTAAATAGCTCATTAAGAAGCATGCACATGATAATGATGACGCAATATGCAATCTGAAATGTGGGCAAAGCAGGAAATGAAATAAATGTAGTGCTCGACATTCGTTGATTAAAGAAGTCCAAGGAAGAGGATTTCAAAACAAGGTTGATTTTGTGGCGTCAGCTGAGCCTTGAATATGCGTTTATTGTTAATAGTTATTCATCATTTGTGAGAAACATTTAAAAGTTTTCAATTTCACACTTAAATCCTTTTGCAGCAAGTGGTTTTTCATTGTAAATTGATTGAGTCAGTTCGCATGCTTCTTGTACAGTACAAAATGCATTTTCTATAAAAATATTCGACATTGAAACATTGTATACTGGTTTTTCGTTCCGACAGTTTTGTGCTTTTGTATAGAAATGTGGAAAGTTTAGAGAAAATTATATAGAAAGGGTTTTCGCTGTAATGATGAAATGTGTTCCTTTCTTTCGCTGAAATATCGGAGATTTATAACTACCAGTTAAAAAACATAGTTGTTGCTAGGTTCATCGAGATCCGAACGTTAATTAAACGGTGTTAAGATTAATAGATGATATAATTAATGACGCAACTGCCCAGAATCTTTTTATCACCTGTTTCATGCTGCTTGCGGATTTCGAAATTTTGTTCCTGCATAAACCGCTGATTTACCAAGCTCTTCCTCAATGCGAAGTATTTGATTGTACTTTGCAAGACGCTCCGATCGGCACGGTGCACCGGTTTTTATCTGCAGTTTTTATATTTATTTGCACTACTCTGCTTAAAAACATAAGAGGAAAACTTAGATATGCAACACTAACATTTCTTGAAAAGCTAATTGTCTCGACGTGAGTTCCACCTTAATCAAAGTGTGATATTTTTAAGTTTGTAATTACTTTTCACAGAATAATTATGCAGATCTCACTTAGAAGATTATAAAGTGCGAAAAATGAAAGAGAAAGGCATGTAAACCTGTCCCGTGGCAAGGCCAACAACGAGGTCGGCGATGAATGTGTCCTCAGTTTCACCTGATCGATGCGAAACCATCACACCCCAACCATTCTTACGTGCGAGATTTGCTGCTTCAATAGACTCAGTTACGGTTCCAATTTGATTTACCTGAATTTTATAGAAAAAAATATAGAATTGCGTAAAGGGCTATGTTTTGTGTGAATTTCTCTACTAAAATTGTTGAAAGAAACCTTCAACAATAAGCAGTTGCAAGCCTTCTTGCTCACGGCCATCTCAATTCGTTTGGGATTGGTCACAGTCAAGTCATCACCAACAATTTGGATATTCACAGCAGATAATCCTTTTGTCCAGCTGGACCAGTCATCTTGTTCAAACCAATCCTCGATTGACACAATTGGATAATCCTTAACAAGTGCAAGCATCATAAGTAAAAGTTAAGTTCATTTCGACAGAGACTTTGGCAAATGATTAGGTAAGAAAAATGCAACACGAAGGCAAAGTAAACCAAAAAAAAACAGAAGCAACCTTGATGAATGATTTGTACAATTCTAACATTTCATCGCCTGTTTTCCATTTACTTTGGTCCGACTTTGGATTTTTAAAATCCAAGTCATACTTTTTAGCTGACTCCTACAATTTCATTACGATAAATCTTTACTGCAATACTTTAGCCCACTTTTTATTACATTCAGCTTGTCAAACATAGTACAATGTAACTGAATGTGCTAATTTTTTCCGTTTACTTCAGAGTATTAAGCTTTTTTACCTCCTGCGCCGGAAAAAAAGAAAAAAGATGCAAGTCAAAATCTACTTCATTTAAAAACTGAAATTAAAAAGCCGTAAACTACTTTTGATTAACGAGGTGCATGCACACCTTGTAATATTCTGAAGCTGCACAATCCATCGCAATAAGAACTTTTCCTTCATATCCCGCAGCAGCAATTGCTGATTTTAGCAAATTAAGACCCTCTTTGTTGTCCTGAATATTTGGAGCGAAGCCACCTTCATCACCCACTGCCGTAGCATCCAACCCATATCGTTTTTTGATTTCTGCCTATATTATTTATCACTATTGCCAACAAAATAAAAAAAATAATTAAAAAAAGCGAATAATTGGAAAAAAACAGTAGAGAAGAGAGTAGAAAAAGCATACTTTCAGATGATGATAAACCTCAGAACCCATGCGCATTGCTTCAGTGAAAGAAGAAGCACCAACAGGCATAATCATGAACTCCTGACATTGTAAATGCATTAAGTGTAATAGGAACAATTTTTGTTTTCTTAAATCATTTATCCGAAGATTTATTATATTGACTACGTATTTTGAATCAGCTTAAATCAAAATAATAAGCCTAACCTGCATGGCAAGTTTATTGCCAGCATGTGAACCACCGTTGATAACATTCATTGCAGGTACCGGTAGAACAACTTCTTTTACACCTGCCAGTTCGGCAATATATTTGTACAGTGGCATACATTTATGAGCAGCACCAGCTTTGCAGACTGCTAACGAAACTCCCAAAAGTGCGTTAGCCCCAAATTTTGCTAAAATAATTTTCTGTTCCTATCTTATAAAAAGTTAATTTGCAGCTTAAGTTTAAAGTTTCAATGTTAATCAACGTAGTTTTTTTTACAGCTTTCCATCACTGATCATTATTCTTCAACCCTTCTCATAGATAAAATATACATCCGCAAATTTCGACGAAAAGACCGATTTATCTATCATGAATTTTGCTTTTGTTACAAGTCATTACAATGCTACTCATTTGCTGAAAAGACAGAAGTACTTACATTTGTTCTCAGTGCCATCAAGCTGAAGAAGGAAATTGTCGATTTCCTTTTGTTGGGTCGGGTCCATCTTCTTTAAATTATTAGATTAGTTATATGTTATATAATTATATTATATAATTAGAATCATGTCAAATATATTATATAATTAGAATCACTCGGTTTTTCAAAGTGCGACACAGCTCAAACAGGGAAAAAAATGGGGAAAGTCAAATGGATTTGACTTACTTTGGAAATCAGTGCTGGTGCAATTTGTTCGTTGACATTTTTAACCGCCTTTAAAACTCCTTTACCATGATGAATAGCCTTATCTTTATCGCGAAGTTCGAGTGCCTCATGCACACCTGTAGATGCACCACTTGGCACTGCTGCTCGAAACATACCTAGAAATTGACAAAAATGATTTGAAAAAGATATAAATTGATAAAATAATCAAAGTAATAAGCTGACATGCATGAAAGATTGGCTGACCTTTCTCTGTAGTGACGTCAACTTCTACAGTTGGATTGCCTCGAGAATCATAGATATAACGGGCATGAATAGCAATAATCGGCATAATTAATTGTCACTGGTAATAAATTTCTGTAAAATTCATCATACGGTCAAAGCCATCATATATACAGATGTTGGAAGAGACGATTTAAACTTATTTTAATTCAGTAAGTTTAATTTAAATTTGTCTGGGCTAGTGATTAATATGATAATTAATTTGAGTCAAATTTCTTTCAATGTTGCAAATGGGGAAATGTAACATGGATGACATGAAGAGTCAATCTACCCAAGTCAATAGACAAACATTGCATCCCATTTATTCCTTCCACCCTATTAAGAAACATCCGATAACCCAGGAGCAAACCGCACATAGGAATATATTACCTGATATATGAAATCCTCATTCCTATTCGCATCAATTTATAGAGAGTTTATTGGCATCCAGCAAATTTACATATCGGTTGAATACAAAGTTTCAGAAGATAATCTTATAAAAACACATAAAGATAAAGATGAGAAGGTTGTATAAGATACTCTTTTTTATTTGTTAAAATTTGGATTGTTGGAGTTGGAAGCCTGATTAGATGGATCTGATCGATCTATCTGAGGGCAAAGTGGTCAGTAAACGATGGGTCATCGATGAGAAATTGGGTGAAGGTTCGTGTGCTACTGTATATAAAGTGCACGATATAAACGATACTCGAGTGAAAGCTGCCCTCAAAGTAGGCCAATTAAATTATTCATTCATAGTTTAGCAACAAAATACCTACCTTATTCCGCTGATACCGTTTTAGTAAGAGAATAACATGTGTGTATGGTGCCTTACTTTACTACTTTGGTCTAACTTCTTTACTGTCCAATATAAAGTACACAAATCTATAAATATACCCTAGTATTTCATATCACTAATTTTGAAGTTATTCTTCTTGATAAGTAATATCTCACTGCTCTCTTCATTAGTTTCTAAAAAAATCATTTTATCAAATATTAGGATCTCCATTTCAGATAACCTCACCAAAAGTATACTTCATATTATTAATATCATCTTACAAGATATCAAAGAACAACAAACTTTTCATCACTGTTATCACAAAATCACTAGTTACTACAACCTCTTTTGATCCAAATTTTGTTGCGAACATGTAGTGAGAAGATTGAAGCAGTGCGTGATGCAAATCAAACTAATGACCATCCCCACTAGCAACGTTCTTCGACGTTTCAAAAAATTTTTTTTCAAGCCTATCTTCTTAAGAAAAACACGGGAAATAATATTGCTCACATCTATCTCATCTGACCTTTTTTAAGAAACAAGTGCTTTTGTCTAACTGTTGTGTAATTAATTTAATTAATAATCATAGAATTACAGGTTGAAGCACGTTCAGCTGAAAATTATGGTGTATTGAAGAAGGAGGTAGCTGTCATGAGAAAATTACAATGTCGAAAGCACACTGTTCGAGTAGTGTATGCTGCACGTCGTGAATATGTAATCTTTTATTTTCAGTTTTATTTTATATACTTCTCTTTTCTTAGTCGTTTGATTCTCTCATTATGATCTATTACTGAATAGTTTTTCTCCAAGAAATCCTGGATATTTTGTTACATGAAAGGTGGGCAGTATCAAAGAAAAAATGATGAATTTATTTCTGAAAGTCAAGATGCAGTACTGCATATTAGAAAGGAGTCAATGAAATGCAATCGCTTAGTGATTGCCGTCTCAGATTTCTTTAAACGGATTGATATACAGTCATCCTACATCTAACCTACCATTCACATTAGAAGGGTTTAAAGACGAACTGTTTCAAATATTCGAATAATCTTAGTAATTACCCTTTTCCCTTAATGATTTCCTTTCATTGGAATATATTAAATATCCAATTTAATGCTTAATTAGGTCATATTATTTGATAAGACAATTAATTGTTTTGATGAAAATTGTATTACAGTATTCATATGTCGTAATGTCACTTTTGGGACCAAATTTATTACAACTAAAAAAAGGGTGCAAAGTAAACACATTTACTGCTGGAACAACGAATCGGATTGGAATTCATGCACTGTATGCTATAAAACAATTACATGAAATCGGTTATGTACATCGAGATATCAAACCAGGTTAGTCTACCAACATTAAATATAGCCTAAGGTACTATAAAACAAAGTAAGATGGCTGTATTTATGCAATATAAGACAATGACAAAATGGCACAGCTAAATCTTTTCAAATTATCTAAATATTTGTACTTGATATTTCATTTCCGTTTACAGCAAATATGGTTATCGGACGATGTGGCTATGAAGCACGTATTATTTATTTAATTGATTATGGTATGGCACGAGAATATGCAATTTGGGAAGAAGGTTATGTACGAATTAGGCGGAAGCGTGAACATGTTCTTATGAGGGGTACAACGAGGTGCACTTCAAGCTCGTTTGAATGGAATACTTCAGCAAATAGGCAGCTAATCTTTGTATAAGAATTATCTTTCTTTAAGCGTATTTTTTAAGGATTTAGAGAATCTTGATTTTAGATATTGTTCACCAGCAGTTCATGCTCGAATGGAGCAGGGAAGAAAGGATGATTTGTGGTCGTTAATTTACGTCCTTGTTGAATTACATGCTGGATTGCCGTGGCGTGGTATCACTGTACGTATTTTACGTAAATTTTTTTTAATGCCATTCAAATATAAAAATCATTGAAAAGTGAAAAACTGTCAAAATAAGGTTTTCTGAAGTTTGCATGAATTAATTACGTCACGGAATCGTAGGAAAAAGAAGTGGGCATAATGAAGGATAAAATAACGGACGAAGTATTGATGGCGGATTGTCCACCGGAATGGATTCATATAATGAAGTACATACGGACACTGACTTATGAATCAAGACCTGATTACAAGAAAATTTATGATTTGTTGATGAGTTGCATGAAGCGGCTCAGTGTTTCCTTTTCCGATCCGTATGATTGGGAAATTAATTTTTCTTCAAAGGTGAAGATTTAAACTCAAAACTTGAATTGAACATGTCAAACTTTCCCGAATAAAGATATAAGATTATGGATGAAGCATAAAATCGAAACCATCATTTATTTTTCAGTCGCTCCAAACCACAACCACGACCACAACTGCAATAAGAGCGGCAGTCATTGCAGAGGGATCACCAAATCCAAAATTCATCAATAACAGACAGTTGTATGACTTTCCGCCTACCACGGATCCCAAAGAATTCGAGTGTAATGATATTGGGATATAATCAGAAAACACAATTCCAAATTTGTTAAAATGCATCACATGTTTCAATTAAAATTTGTGAAATAACTTGCATGAATTGATTTACAAGCTGCTTCAATAGAAATTCTGTCGATTGCCGGGAAAAAATATTTTGAATTTTCAAATGATTGAAAGATGTGTACAGTTTAGAATTTGCTGAAAAAAACTAAGAGCGAAAAAGAATAGAAGCAATTATTTCAAATATGCAAGGAAAGAATTCAAATTATACTTTGAAAACCAATCAAAAAACGGAAAAGTTTGAAATCAAGGGATCAGGTATTTAGGATAATCTCTTGAATCATTCATCAGTTCATCTCTCTCTTTGTCGCCAACATTACTCGTAGTTACTTAAGTAGTATAACAATTTCTGTCATATTTCATTCTATTTCCATTATCATATAACTCAATGCTTATGTTGTACTAATTTTTGCTTATCTTTTCTAAGGAAGTAGTCAGCATTCTTTTTCATCTGCTACAGATCACTTCCTTAGAGAAGATAAGCGAGAGTAAATTGGACTATATCATGTGATTGACTAGAACTTCCCAACAACATTTATTAAGATCAAAAAATTTAAAGATGACAGCGCAGCACCAATCATATCCATGACGATACTTCCGTTTCATTTAGGTTCTCATCAAAATCGCACAAAATTATATACCAGTTCAACATCACTTTGATTATGCCGCTTCTCATGTTGTGGACTGTCATTTCCAAATTTTGGATGATAGCTTATAATTGGGTGTAGGATATTGCTTATATTCTTCTCTTCCCTTATATCTGCGCGTTGAACACAGCAAAGAACGGAAAGACCGTTGTTGCTTCTCACTGTAGACATATTCGCCTTGTTTCAGATTGATTAGATTTCTATTGGAGATATATATTTATTTTTTTTTCGTAATATTCTTCTGTCATACTCATATTATTGCATGTATTACTACTTGCGATCTCTTTTGTTTAGTATCTTTCGTCTTGATGTGATACGGGTAAAAGCCAATCGTTTTTTTAATATCTCATTGCTCTCAGTATGATACTTAGCTGCCTAATAAACATATATCATAAAACACTTTTTGTTCCTTCCAACGACCAAATTCAAAATCATCATTACAACACTGATGCTGCTAAAGGATTTATTCTAGTTCAAGTATACGGTGTAATTGAGTCATCTGTGGCATACTACAGAGCTATCTATTGTTTCTGGTTAACCAATAGTTTGAGGTATACTTGGGTGAAATGTTGATGAAGATTGATTGGTCAGTGGCTTATTATTATTCTAAAATTCACATGATTGGTTTACTTGTTTTTTGCAGGTGACCTAAGCAACATCTGTTATGGATGATGATATGGAAATGTTCGATGTTTTTGCAGAAGGCAGCGGTTCATTACTATCCGGTAATACCGACAAGAAGGAACTACTGAGTAATTCTATTCAAAAGACAGAAGTAACTCTTTCTTCCAAGTTTCCTAGCTAAAGCTTCAATCAAGTTTACCTAGATATTTTACTGTAGTATTTCGATTATATCATTATTTACATCATTTTTTTTTTATTACTGTTGGCATCATTGATTTTCAAGTCTTGTACAGCATGTTTTTAAATGTATTTTTTCACCCTTACTAATACAATACTTAAACTTCCAACCGCATATGATTTGATTTGGTTTTCGAAAAATATTGTCCTTAGATGAATAAGAGGAAACAGAAGGAAGCTCGTGAACGAGCCAACAAATTACTGGGAGAGTTAGCGACAGGTAACGCTGCAAATAAAGATGTTGTGACAATATCTAGCGACGATGATGATGAGACAGATGACAGCGATACAGGTATTCTTATTTGATTGCTTGATTCAGTAAATTTGATTAACTTTTACTTCCTGTCCAAAATTCTTCTCTTACATTATAACTAGGGGTTTTTTTCTAGGAATATTGTCGAAAAGATCGAAAAAAGAGAATACTGCGGAGGAGCTTCCTGGTTTAGCTTCTCATCCACGAAACAATATCAAAACTGTCGAAAGTGAAGGAAATTGTTCACATGAAGTAGTTTCATGATCTTTTAAGGTACATTTTTATAGTTTTTTCTTTACACTATCATATTTTTAGGTCGTCTTACCACCAAATATGGAATATGTACCATTGAAACCACGTACAACAGCTCCAGCCAAGATGTATGAATTCCAGTTAGATGCATTTCAAAGGGAAGCAATCACTTGTATTGATAACAGTCATTCCGTTCTTGTATCGGCCCATACTTCTGCTGGAAAAACTGTTGTCGCATTGTAAGTCTTTTGAGGTTATATCAATGCAAGTCAGTACTCATAAATTAAAAAAAATAACAAAATTTATACCAAGCACGTTTTTCTCCCACTTTTGCGTTATTCAAGATTCTAACACTTTTTATTTCATGCTGATTTAGATAAATTATGAAATTGAAGGAAAGATATATTGTATTAGGTTGCGAACACAGTGTATAAAATTATTAAATTCTAGCATTTAGATATGCAATAGCGATGTCTTTACGTGATAAGCAGCGCGTTATATATACGTCACCTATCAAAGCTTTGTCTAATCAGAAATATCGAGAATTGGAGGAAGAATTTGGTGTAAGTTTTTCTTAAACTACTTATATCTTCTCCATAGCAAAATGTCTCTGTAATTTGAATTTTTTAAATGATTTTAGGATGTAGGTTTGATGACTGGTGACAATACATTGAATCCGGATGCTTCTTGCATTGTCATGACGACAGAAATTCTGCGATCAATGTTATATCGTGGTTCAGAGATTATGAGGGAAGTTGGATGGGTTATTTTCGATGAAATTCACTATATGCGCGATAAAGGTTTATAATTTCCAAAATCTCATTTAATGTTTCTAAATTTCTAGTTCGTTTGGATGGAGGACCTGTTTGCTCTTTCAAAAAGGGACTGGTAGAGACGAATCAACAAGTGAAGTCTGGATAAAAGATTCGAAAATGATCTTTTAAAAAATTGCTTATGATGTTTGCTTTATAGAGCGTGGTGTTGTGTGGGAAGAAACAATTATTTTGCTACCCGATACTGTGCATTATGTTTTTCTTTCTGCTACGATTCCAAATGCAAGGCAGTTTGCAGGTCATTTTTATTAAAAATGTAATACTTAAAAAGACGAAGAGTTATTATTTTTATGATGTTCATGAACTTATACTGTCTTATTTTCTTATGTATTATGAAAATGATTTTGCAGACTGGGTAGTTTATCTTCATGATCAACCGGTTCATGTTATATATACTGATTATCGTCCAGTACCTTTGCAACATTTCATTTATCCAGCTGGTGGTTCAGGACTGTATGAAGTTGTAAATATGCAGGTATATTTAGAAAACATTCATTTCAGTCACATATGTATTTTTGAAATTTATCGTCGAAGCGATTATATTAAGTATTTTCTTACAGCTGTTCGTTTGCATTTAAAAATTTGTTGCAGTTTTTTCATGCTATCGCAATGATTTTCACCACTTCTGAGGTTAAAAAAATATTTTAGGGAATTTTTCGAGAGGATAAATTTACTGAAGCAATGAATGTACTATCACAAGTAGGAGATGCAGGACAGGGTGGAATCAGCAGGGGAAAGAAGGGTGGAACAGCAGGTAATTTTGTTATTGATTTTCATATCCCATTCAAAAAATTTTCCCTATCAATACTTTGAAGTTATTTTTTGGTTTTTCACGTCACGATCTTTTTTATTTGTTTCAAATAAAAGTAAATGTCAGAAGAATAGTTCGTCATATTTGTTGTTTACTAATTTTAATATAATTTTCTGAAATTTCTTTTATCTCTTGTTAAACAGCATCTAGTTTTTTTTGGAATTTACAGAACTCCAAAAATATATATAAGGTGGTACTTTCCGATAGTATTATACTATTTACAAGAGAGAACCTTTGAATATCTTAACATTTGAGATCTGTCAAAAAATTGTATGTTCTGAAAATAGATTTTTTTTTCATATTTTCATCTTTCTAGGTGCACCTCACGTAGTAAATATAATTCGCACACTTAAGGAGCGTGATATGATTCCAGTCATCATTTTCTCATTCAGTCGAAAAGAGTGTGAAGCATATGCAACGCAAATGACTAATTTAGATTTCAATACAGGTAAATTTTTTTCCTATTCTTTCGACGATATTAGTCTTAGTGGTTTACCAGCGATATTTGTATAATCTTTAGAAGACGAAAAGGTAAAGGTAAAGGAAATATTTGTCAATGCAATCAGTTTATTATCCGAAGAAGATAGCAAATTACCTGAAATTGGACGAGTATTGCCACTATTATTGCGTGGTATTGGAGTGCATCATTCGGGTTTGCTGCCAATTGTTAAGGAAGTTATCGAGATTTTGTTCGGAGAAGGTTTGATCAAAGTGAGTAACTTGACAATTCAAAATCTATCTTTTATGAATTTGTTAGAAATTGTAGCATAAATAAAGCAGAAGTTAAAATATATGTGAATGAAAGCGTTTTGCAGACCTTATTTGCCACTGAAACTTTTTCCATGGGTCTAAATATGCCTGCTCGTACTGTGTTATTCACATCTGCAAGAAAATTCGATGGAAAAGATTACCGGTTTGTTTTTGGAATTGTTTTTATTTGTTTACATGTTTGAAAGTTTTATGCTTCACAGATATTTATCAATCGAACTGTGTGGTACCTGCTTGGTTTAGGCGCATGGTTGGTCATGGAATTGGGAATTGTTTGTTTTTTTATGACATGAACATTTATGGTTTTGTGGAAGTTATTTGTGCAGATACAGCCAGCGCATTCATTTAGATATGGTCAGGTGGATATAGTTGAGATTTTAATATTTTTTATCTTGTTTGATTTCTCTGAAATTCGATATTTTCAGATGGATTACATCGGGTGAGTATATCCAAATGAGTGGACGAGCTGGACGTCGAGGTAAAGATGATCGTGGCCTTGTAATATTAATGGTTGATCAGCAGATGGGACAGGATGTAGCTAAACAGATTATTAAAGGTTAGGTTTAGGTTTCTATGAATTCCATTTTCGTATTCGTTTTGAAATTTACAGAGAAGTTCCACTTTTTTGATTTCTTCTATTTTAGGTGCACCAGACCCACTTAACTCGCAGTTTCGTTTGACTTATAATATGGTTCTGAACTTGCTTCGAGTTGAAGGGATTAATCCTGAATTTATGCTGGAGAATTCATTTTATCAGTTCCAGAATTATGATGCCCTGCCGCAACTTTACGCAAGTTTGTTACATTAATTGTTGATAATTTCTACTTTATATAAATTCTCTCACTTTCTGGAAATCATTAAATTTTGCAGATGTGGAAAGAAAGAAGAGAGAGCTTGCTAGTTACAAAATTGATGGAGAAACAGAAATATCTGGTTATTATCAAATGGAAAAGCAGATTGGTGTGTTGAAAGAAGCTGTAAAAGAAGTCGTTACGAAGCCAAAACACCTTGTACCCTTTTTGCAAGCTGGGCGTTTGCTTCATGTTTGTTTCTTTCTAAATCTTGATGTTTTTTTTTTCCAATTTGGACTTCTAGATATTATTATGTACTTTTCATGTTCGATCCTAAATTGAAATCGTGAAGTGTTTATTAAGACTTTGATATGGACTTTCAGATTGTTTCAAACGATAAAGATTTTGGGTGGGCAGCTCTGTTAGATTTTCACAAAAAAGCGAACCCTGTTGATCCTCTTGGTTTGGATGTAATGTATATACTAGATGTATTGATGTTATTGTCTGCAGAAAGTGCAAAAAATTTGTCAGATATTACACAGCTGCGACCACCTAATGCGAATGAGAAGGGGGTTGTAGAGGTTATTATTTTACTTTAATTTTTATCACCTACTTAAAATATATTGAATTAAATCAAAACTGCCTTTAACTTCGGAATAATATAAAAATTAGTTGAAATATTATTTAGGTTGTATCTGTTGCAATCAGTTGTGTATCTGAAATAAGTGCAGTCCGCGTGAAGTTACCACAGAATTTGAAAGCATACGAAGGAAAACAAAGTGCTGGTCGCGTTATAAAAGTAATTATTTTGCAATCCAAATTCTAAAACCATGCATCCTGGTCATTATTATTTTACAAGTGTTTGTCCATTCTCTATTTGCGACATATTTTAGGAAGTTTTAAAAAGATTCAACGGAATTATGCCTTTGCTTGACCCGCTAAACGACATGAAAATAAATGATTCAGTGCTGCAGGAAAATATTATTAAATTGCAAGCACTAGAAAAACGAAAAGATAGTCATCCTCTGAGGTACGTTTGTCTGCAGTTTAATGTTCAAATGGCATTGATACTTCGGTTTTCTAATTCATAGAAGCGGTTCAGGGAGAACAGTAAATTTGACGAAATCTACAAGCAGTATGAAAAGAAGCTAGAGTTGGAGGCGGAACTGAAGGTGGCAAAAACTGAGCTAAAGAAAGCTCAAAGTTTATTACAACTGGATGAGTTGAAATGTCGCAAACGTGTGCTTCGAAGGTTGCAATACTGCGACGAGAATGATGTTATTACGCAAAAGGTAAGGATACGATTAGTAATAAAAATTAGATTTATAGAAAAATACCGAAATAACACGGCTGTCTTTATTATGTTCATTTAAATAGAGTGCCTAACTGTCCCATCATTTTTTTCGCAAAGAGTGGGCTGATGAACAAAGCATGATTTTTGTCTCATATTTATCATCTTTTGAAGAAAATTATTTCTGGTGGAATATTTCCTTGCATTTCAGGGACGTGTCTCATGTGAAGTGAGTGCTGCAGATGAGTTGATGTTAACAGAGATGATGTTTGGTGGCATATTCACAGACCTTGCTACTCCGCAGTTGGCAGCTTTGCTCTCATGTTTTGTGTTTGAAGAAAAAGCAGGAGGAACGAAATTGGCAGATGATCTCAGCGGTTGTTTAAGAGCAATGCAAGTGAGCTATTTTATTATCTCCTGTTTAGATTAATAAATACTTTTATTTGCTCTATTTAAATGACCCAATTTGAATTTTTGATTAACATTAAGTAAATCTAGTGCCAACTTACAAATCTTGCTTAGCTGTACTGTATTAGGCTCTTCTTTTTTAACTTTGACTGGTATGTAAGATATTGCTCTCACAAAGTGTCATTGCAAAGAGTAGGCGAACTTTAACAAGCAACATAATGTTTCTGTGTCAGGTATAGTGTGAGGTTTTGAACGCTTCTGCTTTTAATCAATTTCTATGGCGAGAGGAGGAGTATTTTTTGATTCATTACAGGAATATGCTAGACGCATTGCAAAAGTGACGAAAGAATCAAAACTCGAGATTGATGAAGACAAATATGTAGAATCGTTTAAGCCTCATTTGATGGATGTAGTCCATGCATGGTGTACTGGTGCATCTTTTGCTGAAATTTTAAAAAAAACGGATATTTTTGAAGGTATTATTAGCTATCTTTTTTTGCATCGGATTTCAGCCATGTGCGTTAGTTATATGTGTTTTATGCATATATTATATTTATGTATGTATTTTTATGTGTATATGTGCATGTATATGTTTTATTAGTCATTTTTATACCCGGGAATTGCAGACAATTATGTTTTAGTCTTTTCTGAACCTCCCTTTTTTCTCTACCGTTCTCATACTCTTTTACAGGATCAATAATTCGCTGCATGCGGCGTTTGGAAGAATTGCTGCGTGAAATGGTAGGTGCTTCGAAAGCAATAGGAAATGGAGATCTGGAAACACGTTTTGAAGAAGCACGAGTGCTTTTGAAGCGTGATATCGTGTTTACGGCTTCGTTATATCTGTAATCAATAGGCTAATTTCCGTAAATATTATGTGTAGTTTTTGTTCTACATTAATATGTCCTTGCTGTATATTTTTTAAGATTTATTGTATTGTATCTGATGGACGTCTAGATAGATTGCTCAGGATAACTTATGGAAATCATTCTGTTCCAAGTGAATAAAAGCTTAAGCTTTTGCAAGGCATGATGTGTTGAAAAGGAATTCGGAAAGAATTCTGACTTAATTTTTGCAGTTGTTTACATGATCTCATTGCTATTGAAGTATTTCTTTGCATCTATTGCTAAAAATATCTTGAAAATATGAAAATTTGATGATTGTGTAGATGGGCATAATCATGCTTATGATGGTGAGACTGTGTCATTTATCATTTCATCGTTCCATGTATCTTCATCTGTTGTCAGTTTTAATCATCTTATACCATTGGCTGCCGAGGAGGGCACTTCGGGAATGTATGGTATATTTGTATTTTGTTTTACCCAATTTGTTGTAAACCTTCAGAAGTTAACGGAATATTGTTGCTTTTTTATATTATGTTTTACAATTTCTTGTTCAAATAAATTATATTTCCATTGTATCTATCATATGAAACAAAATGGAGGACTTCTGAATTGAGTTTGACAATTCTGTGGTCGGTATAGAGCGACGAAATTACATGGAAAACAAGAAGATGATCCATATGCTTCCGGTTGGAGTTTGTACGAGAACCTGTCGTGGTCCCTACTCCATTTAGTATCACATCCTTGGTCGAAATAGTTCACTATCAATGCCGTTTCAATAAAAGATTTTTTTTTGTGCTGCAAATAGTTTACTAATACTGACTTTTCCCTAACAAAATGTCCTGAAACGGTTTCATTTTCCTCGCTTGCATTCTCTTCCTCCAATGCTTAAAATAGCAAATTTATAAAATGATTTCTTTCACTATTATTCTCACTGTTAAAATGATCTCTTGAATGATTTTTTTTAAAATAATTATTGAAGGAATATTCAATGTGTGACTGGAGATCGTTTCATTCTTTTCTTTAACAGAACAGTTATAAATGATTTCAAATACATTACTGGTACGGTAGCATTAAATGATCACATATGCTTATATTTAAGTCAAACCAATGCTGACTAAAATTTTAACTAATATGATAACTTTGTGAATGTGATTTTCCATTTTATATTTTTTAATAATTTGTTTCTTGACTATTTTTGATTTCCTTTTCTAATTTAATTCCTGTTTCCTACTAAAACTTCTACTTAAATTTATCCGGCTGCATTAAAAGTCACTACCCATTTCACGAAATGAATTCAAAACTCAGATATTACTGTAAAATGATAAATATAACAAAATACAGAAAGAAAATACTTTTTTTGTGAGTGCTATGTTCTTCTCTGTTAGGAACATTTACCTGTCACTAATGATTATGTATGTGTTTCTTTTTTTTAATAAATTAACTTCATCTTTTCATACTTACTCATATTTCTACAATTCCCTGTTATGATTATGACAATGGGGTCAACTATTTGCATTCGAAATATATTGCTTAGGATAATTACAAATGATAAAAGGTAAATTTTCATTAACAGGCAATGTATATTACAATCATCAAATCATAAACAAACATGAAACATTGTTTTTTAAATCACAGTTCTGTCGATAACATGTGTGAATCCGGTTTGTCGAAGTTTCAAGTACTGTTACACGTCTTGCCGTGATGAAAATTCAATACGCACGAAATGTAAATGTAACTGGCAACTATATGTTGATCGTAAACCTTTTCCATGTTTATTATCCTCCACCGACAGTTTGCGGAATTTTTTGTGGATTTCATCCTGCTAGTAATTTTTCTTTGTCACTTTACTAACTTTTGTAAAATCACTTTTTTATTTTGCACTATTTTTTTCTAATTGAATAAATGTTTCAATTTTAATAATTATTTTATTAAAATTTACTTTTGATTTCTTCGATTCAATTCATGAAAAGATTTTGTTATCGTCTTGTTCTATGTCAGGGGATTTAAATTTTTAATAATGATCCAACAAATTCTCATTCAAATTTATAAATTATAATAGATTTTTTACTGCATCAAATATATGAAATTTGTGGATTCTTTCTCAGGCCTTAAATATTTGAATATTTTCGATGTTCTTGGTACATTTAACAAACCATAACAAATTTTCTTTTTATGGAGGCACACAAGCTGTGCTAGTGAATCGGCCAGAAGATGATAAAAAATAATAGTTGATAGTTGCAATACTTTTGGAAAAAATTAGATGAAGTGACAAAAAAAATTACTAATAGAACGAAATCTATAAAAAATTTTGCAAACTGTCGGCAGAGATAATAGACATTGACATACCACTGGGTGATGGACGATTATTATACTTAATATCAAGCAATCAATAACTCTCTTTTATATATCGCTATATCCAACTTCCAGAAGTGCAATTATCAGCAGTTGTAACAGTGTAAGGAGTAAGGAGTAATTGCAGGTGAAAATTTGAATCAGTTGCTGGTTCTCTGAAAGTTTGTCAGAATACGTTAATGATTTTTTATTGATAATTAATATCAAATAAAATATCCGAAAGCAAAACATATGCATAAATGTTTCATTCATTGATGCCAGTACTTTTATAGCTCATATAATATTGAATTTTCCCGAAATTTATCGTTATTTCATACATAATTCTTTAGACTTCTGAGAACGATAAATGATTGATTACATTTAAGTAAAATATCACCAGATTTGTGCTCTTTTTAAAAATTATAAATCGACTTTATGAATCTAATTTTTAAGATTTCCAATTTCAACCACGAAAATTGAAATTTCTAAGAATTTCAATTTCCATTTTCAATTATTGCAAAACTACCAAAAATTTTATTTTAAAAAGCGACATGAACATTTAAAAATACCAATAAAAGTGCTCAATAAATAGTAAGGGCAAAAAGTTTTGAAGATTTTTTGATGACAAATATGGGCAAATGGAAAAAGTATTGTTGGTGTTGTTTTTGTTGCTGCTGGCGTCTATTAGTCTGCTTCGATGCGCTTATTGTGCAATAAACCTTGACGATCCAAGGGATGACAGATTCGTTACCTTTCATCAAATGTTCACGATAAAGAAAGATTTCTGAAAAAGGACACCGTAACGATGTGTTGTCTTTTGATCGTTGTTTATGTTAACAAATGCATTTATATTTTAATTCCTTCAACAAGCTATTTCTGATCGTTATGGGATGTGTTATCGTTGATAGTTGATAGTTTTGCATTTTTCGAAGTCTCTTCCTAAAATATTGAAATTTCCTTGTATCACCTTCTCGACCATTACTTAACTTATTGTACGCGAATTTTATTTTTTCTAATTTTAGTTTTTCTGTTTCATCAAAATGCGATTAGTAATGTTGATAGACATAAGGCAAGAAGAATAATTGAACTATCAATTAATTTTCAATAGCCTAATTTGAATTTTCGTTCTCCAGTATGTTTTTACACTTGAACAAGGCTAGTGGAAACATCATTATGAAAAATTAAAAAAAAAACCTTTCCATCTTTATTAATTTGATGAAAATACTATTGAATTGGACGATTTGTGAATCATGTGGAAGCTTGTTCAAATGTTAAAAACTACGGAGCTAAGAAGGATAATTCAAGTTTTGACAGAAGTTTTACTTTAGGACTCATCCTTACTTTGTTAAGGTGAAGGTACTGTAGATATTTAACGACAAGTTTCTCATATATTATTACTTATATTATTTATAATATAATTATATCATAAAAATGGATAAGGAAAAAGAAATTAATATTAGATGAGCAATAAAAGTGTTTCTTTATCCATTATTCTATTTGCCCAACTCGCGTTCTAAAAAATAATAGAACAAAGCTTTTGTCAAAATTTTTTAAACTTTTGAAAATTTTTAAACGTACGCGAATGGAGAAAAAATATCATTCTCAGCACTACTTATCAGTTATCATTTCCATACCAACAAGCATGTTTATATTTATTCGGTTTGTATTAGTCACAAAATATATGTAAATTAAAATGGAATAATTGATCGCGTGTTGTTTCAATGAGAACAATTTACGAAAAATGTGACTTTGCATTGACTTTATTTGTCTCCTGTCTATAAAATTTTACAAATTTCTTCGAACATGTCTTGTGTAGTTACTAAAACCAAATGAATGATTTAATAGGATGGAAGAAGTCATAATTTTAAAAGGCAATTTGAAGACAAAAATGATTTGAACGGGAATGGGAAGGACAAGTGGGAATATTTGAGAAAAGTTTGATGGAAAAAGAGAATAATGAATGATAAGAACAACGAAATGACATTTCATCTGTCATAATTCATAAATGCTCTTTTGAATCAGTTTTGTAGCAAAGATAATTAAAATTTTTCGCACAAATTGATAATCTTATTCCTTATATAATATAACGCAAAGAGGACGTTTGTCGGAAAAAATAAAAAGAAATTCGTGATACAAATTCTATAATGATGGAAAATTTACAGTAAGATAATTGAAATTTTGGGAATAATGTTATCTTCATATACCAAAATAGAAACAAGCAAAAAACAATCTTCACAAAATATTTTTGATTTTAAAATTAAATTTTTTTAAATTAATATGGTATTGCATAATTTTTAATCTGCTAGTTTGCAGCAATACCAAAATTTGCGAATTCATTCATAATTTTTGCTGTAAAATTATTTTATTTTCTTCATGTCGACATTAAGGTATTTATATTATCCTCAATTTTTATTACCATTCAGCATGTTCATTTTGTAACAGTTGTTGTTGTTTTATTGTTTTTTTACTGAGCAGTTAGCAGTGAATGGATTAGCAAAGATGATTGATAATCATGATTGTTATTGATTAATTGTTATCATATTTAATGTGAGATTAAAGTGTGAATGAAGTAACATTAATTAAACTGCAATTTTTAATATGACTTAGAGTGAATACAAAAAAAAAACTTTGAAATTAAATATAAGAAAGAGTGTAAAGAAATGTTAAACTAAT